CACAGCATAGATACTCGAAGATGCAGGTTCATTATTGATCCTTTTATTACATGAATCAAAGAATGCTTCACAATAATATAATGAATCAAGAGAGATGTTTCACAATAATAGTCTGAATCAACGGACCCCCAACAGTCCTCACTAGGCTTCATCTAACGGAATACACATGTCTAACGTCCTTCTTAACACAATATAACCAACTTGATACTGCCACACAGACTGACTGACGGACTGACTGACTGAGAGAGACCTTCTGAGAGACTTCCTGAGAGACTTCCTGAGAGACCTCGAGCTCAGCCGTCGCCTTCCTTATCTCCCCTTCATAATCGTACTCATATTCGGTCCTATCATAATCGTAATTGTAATCGATTCTAATCGTTACATCAGACTTTTAATTACGCCGCTTCTGTCGTACAGTCCGATTTTAATAAGCCACCTGCATCCTGTCACATCAAAGTTGACAGACCGTCCTTCGTATCGCTTCCCGAGATACTACGCCTTGGCATCAGCCAACACCTGCACTGTGACGTCAGACTGTAACACGTTCAACAGAAGTAATTATAGAAATCCAAGCTAAGTATTACAAGAAAGATAGAAGTATAATAAGAAAATGTAATAAACAGCGTAATAATATAAAACGGGTTAAAACTAAATAATAGGAGACAACTCTGAAACCCTGCTTGGCTCCAGATTTACTCGTTTATTTCCCTTTGAATGTGAAATATCTTGAGCTGAGCAAAACGGTAATGTGTTGAGCAATTTAATGGATCAAAATTGGCGGGAAGGTATAAATATTATATATTCTTATTGCCTAGTCGACTGAGTAGCTAAAAAAGGTTTTAATAGAAAAAAATAGTTATCGAATTAGGAGAATAAAGGGAAAGTAACATATTTAACACATACGTGTAAAGTAAAGGAGACAGTCCTTTTCCACAATGGACACATTCGAGAATAATCTCGAGATTTTCAGAAAGGCCCATTACATATTTTTAAAATCGTACAAAACTGAGTTTACAGTTTTATTTTGACTGCCCTACTTGAGAAACTTAGAAGAATAACAAGCAGTACACTGATACCCCTGCCTTACCCTTTGCTTGGCATTTCTCCCACCTTTTGTCAGATCGCACTATTGACGAATTCACAAAGACGGCTGTCAACAACATACAATGTCAAATTGCATGACATTTTAATTAGAACAACGATATATTAGGCAACCATTAGACAACTTACATAAAAGTACGCATTCTGTTAGAAGTATGGCAATCTATGTAAGAATTCTTAGTAAGTTTATTTTTATAAAACATTAAAAAAATGCATGTGAATCAATACCGTGGGATTAAGACAGTGTGACGTCACACTGGCTCTAACCCTATCCCCCTCGTTACACATAGTCTTCAAAGTCTGTAACGTCATTTATAAACGACCCCTAAAACGAACAGTGAACGATTTTAATATCAGAAACCTACAACGCTATTACACCTAGCCAGTGGCGTAGCGAGGTCGGGTGTCACCCGGTGCGGCACTTAATGGTGACACCCCCTAGAGTCCTGGGGACAAACTTTCGATTTTCGAATTTGCACCTCTTAAAAGACTATTTAACAGTCGAATTAATCACTTAAGTGGAATTATCATTTTTCTCTTTATATTTTGCTATTTTTGCCTTGGTGTCACCCCCCTAAATGGTGTCACCCGGTGCGGTCCGCAGCCCCCCCCCTTCGCTACGCCTCTGCACCTTGCAGCTAATCACCGACTGACAAGTAGATTGTATCTAATCACCGCTACCAGGAAAGATCGACCCCTCAATCCTATTTTAGATTCGCAACTAATTCATTGCCTTGTATGTTTTCCACTGAAGAAAAGATATTTCTAACTAGAATCTATAAGTCGCACCCAACAGAACGATATCGAAACCAATGCTACGTCGTACAACTTACGTCACGATCTAAAAATGTCGTACTTGATAACTCTATTATCAAACCGTGAAGAAGATCCTGGAAACACGTCCTTTCTTACAGTTAGTTTAGATAATGGAATCCAAAACTGAAATCACTGATGCAGTTCCAAGAATTTAAACGGAATACACTTCAGGGTTTTTCCTGTAGCAAAAAATAACTGACTATTCTGTTGTTGAATGGCCTTATCAAAGTTGGGGTCTTACGTGGTGTAAGGGGCTTTGGTGAACATTATTGTTGTGTTAAATTATTTCGTCAGGGCGACGGTTTAGCAAGGTAAGGCGTCACAGATTATATGATAACTAGGGACATTGAAACAACAATGTACAATACATTAAGTGTGTTTAATTAATTTTGTTTTAAAATACGTGGTGAAATTTAAAAAAGACACTATGACAAGCTTTGAAATTTGTTATTTTATTTCAGATCATAATTTATACATATATATATTAAAATATATGTGTGTGCGGATATATATATATATATATATATATATATATATATATATATATATATATATATATATAATTTTATATATTTATGTGTGTGTGTATGTTTGTTCGGACATGTTATTTATAGATATGATAAAACTGTTACTTTGAAAATGTAAAGGATAATCAATTTAATCCTTCTCAATATTCAGCGATGATGTGCGACGCATCAAAGCTATTTATAGTACCCACGTAACCGAGGCTTGGAAAAAAATAAATAAACGTCCAACTTTTCTTTTAAAACACCAGAAAAATGGAGTTGTATTTTATTTTCAAGTCTGTGCGATCTAGAGTAAATAATAATATTCTCAATTTAATGTTATTAAAATCCATAATTTCTAAATATAATTTGGAGAAAATGAAATAAGTTTTTGCGTTTTAATTTTTTTTTCTTTCGCAAAAGAAATATATTTATTGCTGTCTTTGCCAACGGTTAAGAACAAAGTAACCGATAACTTATCGAAGTCTGATAAGACCGACATTGAAAAAATATTGACTGATAAAACACTGACCCTGACAAAGGACCCACCTACACCACTAAAATTCTGTTGTACGAATGACGAAGAACGGAAAGGTCAAAGCAGATACAAAGCTATATAGGCCGTATGAAAGAGAGTCTGCAAGACGAATTCGATAAACAAAAACCCCATTGCAAACAAAAAGCCGTTGAAAAATATGTCTATGCATCTAATTATTGTGTTGTGTGTGTGTAAGTGTACGTGTACTCTCAAGTGTACGTGTTCTCTCAAGTGTGCGAGCTAGCGCACATGGATGTAAGTACTAGGCATATTTACCAACTCACTTCTATAAAGTACAAACGCTTATATAAACCGTTGAATAACACAATGAGAATGACATATTTAACATTCAGCTCTGCCATAGATTTGGCTATAAAATAATGTATAAAAGCGTGCAAGCTTTGTTAAGCTGCAAGTTCTAAGAATGTGTGAGTGTAGGCCTAATCTTAGATGGGGGTGTTTATGTTTGTTAATAAATACACGCCTATGTTGAAAGAAATGAAACACTGTGTCATTAAAATCTCAAACACACGTATAAAACATGATGCCTGATCCTATGTTGAATGAAGCGAAACAGTGAGTCATTAAAATCTCAAACACACGTATAAAACATGATGTCTGATCCTATGTTGAATGAAGCGAAACACTGTCATTAAAATCTCAAACACACGTATACAACATGATGTCTGATCCTATGTTGAATGAAATGAAACACTGTTATTAAAAAATCTCAAACACACGTATAAAACATGATGTCTGATGCTATGTTGAATGAAGCGAAACAGTGTGTCATTAAAATCTCAAACACACGTATAAAACATGATGTCTGATCCTATGTTGAATGAAATGAAACACTGTTATTAAAAAATCTCAAACACACGTATAAAACATGATGTCTGATGCTATGTTGAATGAAGCGAAACAGTGTGTCATTAAAATCTCAAACACACGTATAAAACATGATGTCTGATCCTATGTTGAATGAAGCGAAACACTGTTATTAAAATCTCAAACACACGTATAAAACATGATGTCTGATGCTATGTTGAATGAAGCGAAACACTGTCATTAAAATCTCAAACACACGTATAAAACATGATGCCTGATCCTATGTTGAATGAAACGAAACACTGTTATTAAAATCTCAAACACACGTATAAAACATGATGTCTGATCCTATGTTGAAAGAAATGAAACACCGTGTCATTAAAATCTCAAACACACGTATAAAACATGATGTCTGATCCTATAACACACGTATAAAACATGATGTCTGATCCTATAACACACGTATAAAACATGATGTCTGATCCTATAACACACGTGTAAAACATGATGTCTGATCCTATGTTGAATGAAGCGAAACACTGTGTCATTAAAATCTCAAACACACGTATAAAACATGATGTCTGATCCTATGTTGAATGAAACGAAACACTGTTATTAAAATCTCAAACACACGTATAAAACATGATGTCTGATGCAATGTTGAATGAAGCGAAACAGTGTGTCATTAAAATCTCAAACACACGTATAAAAACATGATGTCTGATGCTATGTTGAATGAAGCGAAACACTGTTATTAAAATCTCAAACACACGTATAAAACATGATGTCTGATCCTATGTTGAAAGAAATGAAACACTGTTATTAAAATCTCAAACACACGTATAAAACATGATGTCTGATCCTATGTTGAATGAAGCGAAACACTGTCATTAAAATCTCAAACACACGTATAAAACATGATGTCTGATCCTATGTTGAATGAAGCGAAACACTGTCATTAAAATCTCAAACACACGTATAAAACATGATGTCTGATCCTATGTTGAATGAAGCGAAACAGTGTCATTAAAATCTCAAACACACGTATAAAACATGATGTCTGATCCTATGTTGAATGAAGCGAAACACTGTCATTAAAATCTCAAACACACGTATAAAACATGATGTCTGATCCTATGTTGAATGAAGCGAAACACTGTTATTAAAATCTCAAACACACGTATAAAACATGGTGTCTGATCCTAGGTTGACAGGAAAAATGGAGGCCACAGAAGGCGGACGTTGGGTGACAGAGGTCACTCCCGATCAAGAGGTGCCCGACTTCCGGGAGAGAATTCCAGAGATGCCTATAGTGGTAAGAATAGAGGGGGGAGGGTGGAAGAAGCTTCTTAATGTACTATCTATGGAGGGGGAGGGAGGAGATTACCTACGAGCCTATAGTGGAGAAGGATGAATCTGTAGAAAAAAAAATAATCGAGTTTCTTCTCATATATCTTTGTGTTTATGTTATGAAGAAATAATAATTTAATTAATTTGTTACTCCGCGTAACACCACAGGCATGCACACACACACATGCGCACACACACCCACAAACGCTCACGCGCACGCACACACATTAAACTCTATAACTAGTGTGTTTATACTTTCGTATTTAAATGAATACTTTAAAGCGGACATTTAAAAAACTATTTTAATTAATTATTTAGTAACATTGCCGTAATCTGCAAATTTTCATTCATGATCAATTCCATGTCGACAATTTCACTCTTTAAAAAGCCGAATACCAAATATCCCATACTTTAAAATTAACTCGTAAACTTCTGTTAACCCCTTTTTATCCTGTCGATTCCAGAAGCCGTTTGAGCTGGATCCGTTCCAGAAACAGGCCATCCTGCAAGTGGAGGGTGGCCACAACGTGCTGGTGGCCGCCCACACGTCGGCCGGCAAGACGGTGGTGGCCGAGTACGCCATCAGCCTCGCTCTGGACAAATCTAAAAGGTCGGGGTTTTGGTCGTACAAAGTTGTCTTGATTAGAACTGCGTTAGTGCGCATGACAGGTAACCCATTTGGTGTTGGGGTCGCCAAGCTCTAGTGTGTAAGATTTTGAGTCCACCCAGCTGTGATGTGCAGGGTTAAAGGGCAAACAGTACCTCCTCTGCCCCCCCCCCCTCCCCACTCCTCTCCCGGACGATGTAGAAAAAAGTATGTTACCGACAAAGTGTAGAATCCGTCATTCTATAGAATACCTTGGCAATGTATTTGATGCTTGAAAAGTATAAAATACATCAATATTTCATACACTTCCTAGTCATTCTATAGAATACCCAAAAGCAAGCAGGCAGAGTGTAGAATACGCTTTCTCGCCAGAACATTCCGGCACCTTTGTTATGTTTTTATAGTAGGCGTTAGGATTAGGGTGAGGTGTAGGTTTAAGGTTAGAGATTAGGGTTAGCTTTAGGGTTAGAGTTAGGGTTAAGGTTAGGGTTAGGGTTAGCTTTAGGGTTAGAGTTAGGGTTAGAGTTAGAGTTAGGGTTAGAGTTAGGGTTAGAGTTTTGGTTAGGGTTAGGTTTAGGATTAGACAGAAAATTAAGGACAATTCAAAACGCCATTCTTGTCGTGCCTGCTGCAATAAATAGTAAGTAATAACACTTTTGATTCCTTTATGTTTCCTAGTTCAAGTGTTGGTATTGATTTCTTTATAGTTTACCTATTCAAAGCAGGATTATTTTTTCAATTAAAATATGAACTTATAAAAACAGAACAGTCCACCTCCAACCACATGTGGATGTTAAGTAAAACGTACAAACCACATGTGGATGTTAAGTAAAACGTACAAACCACATGTGGATGTTAAGTAAAACGTACGATGTCTTGTGCTTCATAGGGCCGTGTACACGTCACCAGTGAAAGCACTGTCCAATCAGAAGTTTCGAGACTTCAAAGAGATCTTCGATGACGTAGGGCTGATCACAGGCGACACACAGATCAATGAAGACGCTTCCTGTCTGATCATGACGACAGAGATTCTCAGGTAAATTAGACTGATCACAGGCGACACACAGGTCAATGAAGACGCTTCCTGTCTCATCATGACGACAGAGATTCTCAGGTAAATTAGACTGATCACAGGCGACACACAGGTCAATGAAGACGCTTCCTGTCTCATCATGACGACAGAGATTCTCAGGTAAATTAGACTGATCACAGGCGACACACAGGTCAATGAAGACGCTTCCTGTCTCATCATGACGACAGAGATTCTCAGGTAAATTAGACTGATCACAGGCGACACACAGGTCAATGAAGACGCTTCCTGTCTCATCATGACGACAGAGATTCTCAGGTAAACAACAGCACAGGTCTATGACAGGTGTGACTTTATCAGGTCATGGTATTACGTCACTGTCTCATTACGGCGACAGAAATACTGAAGTAACTTTAGATTTTTAGTTCCCAGCTTTTTGAGTTTCCGATCAGAAATTTTATTTTACAAATACTTTTCGGACTTTTTGATAGAGTTATGTTCACGTTATAAGATGTTACTTCCCTTTATTTTTTGGTTTCCGTTGTTTAAAATTTGAATTAGAAATGTTGGTGATTGAAAACAAATTCAAATTAAAGTTATGTTCACGTTATAAGATGTTACTTACCTTTTTATTTTTTTGTTTCCGTTGTTTAAAATTTGTATTAGAAATGTTGGTGATTGAAAACAAATTCAAATTAAAGTTCATTATTGTATTTAATTGTCTTCAGTTAATTGTGTGTTATTAAATGGGCTTACTCTTCAACTACCTAATGCATTGCTTTACAAATCAAGGTGGCACATTGTGTATTCATGCTTCAATTACACGTTTCTACAACTTACATCAGCAGTGTTTCTTTCGGATATTTTTCTCCGAGGGGGGGGGGGGCACTTGAAACTTCCGGGGAGGGGGGGGGGGGCGAACTTAATTTTCCGGAGTGGTAGGGGTCGGACACGGGTAAAAGTATATATTTTCTTTAGAAATTCTATTTCGTATACCCCCACCCCCACCCTTCGAAGAGATACCCGTAAGGAACACTGTACATCAGTCAGAATATCTATAGACGCTACACTTGTGGCATTGTCCTTGTGTCTAAAGGTCAAGGCTGTACCAAGGTTCTGAGATGTTGCAGGACCTGGAGTGGGTCATCATGGACGAGGTCCACTACATCAATGACGTCATAAGGGGCGTGGTCTGGGAGGAAGTCATCATTATGTTACCTGACCACGTCAAGCTCCTGTTGTTGAGTGCCACGGTGCCAAACGCTCTGGAACTTGCTGAGTGGATTGGGTAGGTGGATGGTGGATTGGGTAGGTGGATTGGGTGGGTGGATTGGGTGGGTGGATTGGGTGGGTGGATTCGGTGGGTGGATTGGGTGGGTGGATTGGGTAGGTGAATTGGGTGGGTGGATTGGGTAGGTGGATTGGGTAGGTGGATTGGGTAGGTGGATTGGGTAGGTGGATTGGGTGGGTGGATTATGGATTGGGTAGGTGGATTGGGTAGGTGGATTGGGTAGGTGGATTGGGTAGGTGGATTGGGTGGGTGGATTATGGATTGGGTAGGTGGATTGGGTAGGTGGATTGGGTAGGTGGATTGGGTAGGTGGATTGGGTGGGTGGATTATGGATTGGGTAGGTGGATTGGGTGGGTGGATGGTGGATTGGGTAGGTGGATTGGGTGGGTGGATTATGGATTGGGTAGGTGGATTGGGTGGGTGGATGGTGGATTGGGTAGGTGGATTGGGTGGGTGGATGGTGGATTGGGTAGGTGGATTATGGATTGGTAGGTGGATTATGGATTGGGTGGGTGAATTGTGGGTTGGGTGGGTGGATTATGGATAGGTTAGGTGGATTATGGATTGGGTAGGTGGATTGTGGACTGGTTAGGATGATTGTGGATTGGGTAGGTTGATTCTGCACTGGGTAGGTGGAATATGAATTGGGTGGGTGGATGGTGGATTGGGTAGGTTGATTATAGATTTGTTGGATGGATGAAGGTTGGGTGGGTGGGCGGATAATAAAGAGGGTGAGTGGATAATGGATTGGGTAGGTGGATGATTGGTTGCGTGTGTGGATGATGGATTGGGTGTCTGGATTACGGATTGGTAGGTGGATTATGAGATGGTAGAATATATGAATACGACGGTAGAGGGCATTAGATAGTGCTTACAATTGTATTTATGACGAATGTGTTCCGAGCTTGTTTTATACATTCGAAATTTTACTAATCAAATATAGTAGGCCTATAGTGAAATTTTAAATACGACGTTAGCTGGGTTTAACAACACTTCTCTCCCCTTCTCTCTCTGTTAATCGTTACACACCATCACGCTGCGGTATGAGTACTCACAGGATCAGACTAATCCAACGGTTGGATTTTTCACTTCGCTTTTTTTTACGATTAGAAAAAAAATATTTCTTTACAAATATGCCAAAAATATTGTCGAAGCTTACTTCGCTGTTTTAAAATTTGTGTTTTATTATTGAAAAATCAGTTAAATATTTAGAAGCTATAAAAATACAAAACGTTATGATATATTTCACGTGTTAGGCTGTCAAATGCTTTCATGCTACATCTTTCATCAAGGTTGTTAACCCTATAAAGCCTCAACAGAGACCCATCTATGTTGTAAAATATTAACCCTCTACAGCCACATCAAACAGAGACCTATTAATGTTTAAATTATTAACCCTCTACACCCACATCAAACAAAGACCTATTTATGTCTAAATTATTAACCCTCCACAGCCACATCAAACAGAGACCTATTTATGTGGTAACCACAAGTCGAAGGCCCGTTCCACTCAAACACTATCTCTTCACGCAAGTTCGCGGCCGTTCATCTAAGGGGCTGCAACTCTTGATGGACGAGACCGGACGATTTAACCCAGAAAGGTAACCACAATTTTAGAATAAAAAAGTAAAACTTAATGTTCTATTTGAAACAACGGTACTCTAAATCTCGACTCATTAACAATCACATTTATCCTCTATTTTTTTTTAGTTACGACAAGTCCAAACGTAATCTGGAGGCCAGTGATCTTGATGTACGTTTTTAAATTTCTTTAATTTTAAGATTTTTTTTTCTTAAACGCTATAAGCATTTAAATGTTCTTCATATATTATTATTATTATTATTATGGGTCGGCGTGGTCTAAGCTAGTCTGCTAACCCGAAAGTCTCGAGTTCGAATCCGGGTCCAAGTCAGTAGAACGTTTCTGAGGCCATCCAGCTCTAATTGGTACCTAGCTCATGTTAGGGGAAGTAAAGGCGGCTGGGAAAAGTGTTGACCACGTCTTCCCTTCATATGCCGAGGTCAAGAAATACATGAACTCTACTTCATCTGACCAATGAATCGATAGGTTTAGAGAGGAGGATTCTTTACATATATTGTTCATATTAAGCATATTTCAAAATTGATGTAAAAAAGATACAAAGATTTATGCATGTATTTAAATGTATTCTTCCATCTACTTAAGATAGATTATGCTACAACTACCCAATGATGACGGTATTCATGTATTGACATATGTTCTATAACCAACTAGCTAATGATGACGGTATTCATGTATCGACATAATATTATATGTTCTATAACCAACTACCCAATGATGACGGTATTCATGTATCGACATATGTTCTATAACCAACTACCTAATGATGACGGTATTCATGTATCGACATATGTTATGTAACCAACCACCCAATCTCCCCCCCCCTCCCCCACAGGACGAACAGCTGCTCACTTCAACTCTGGACATGCTGACCACTGACAACAAACTGCCCGCCATCTTTTTCGTCTTCTCCAAGAAGAAAATCGATTCTTTTTGCGCGAGTACCAAGGGGGTAACTCTAACGACAGACAGGGAGCAGAACGAAATCGATTCCTTTTTCCAGAGCTCAGTATCGAAATTAACCACAGTTGACCAAAACCTGGAACAGGTAAAAGATCAAGGTTGCAAAAATTGACACGCTTTACATTGTGTCGTCCTCTTCCGAATACGGTTCACCTTTTTGTTACGCTGTGTTTATTTGTTATGGTGTTGTTTTAATCGATATGAGACTAAACTTTCGTTACATTATGTTATGATGTTGGAGGTTTCAGAAAATGTGGCGTTGCTTTGTCTTGCATTTTCTAATACATAAAAATTGACGCCAGTTGAGTTTACTAGGTCAGACAAATTTCAATCTCACCCAATAAATGAAATCATTTTTCTAAGTGGAAAATAAAATTTATTAGGCCATTGTTGTGCTATATTTTTATGTTTATACACGTTACCCCAATATTACAAAAAGTATCAAAATATAAGAATACTTCTGCCTTAGATAATATTCCTATTGGAGGATAATAAAACCTCTACTGTATTGCAATACAACTTAGAATCAGGTGTAACTCGTTTAATCAGAAGCGATACTCCTACTCTTATTAGGTATTTGCATTTAGAGTTTCTTCCATGCATCTCTTCTGCCCCCCCCCCCCCCCCCACGAAAAGTCCAAGCCCCCCCCCCCCCCCCATCCGCAGAAAAAAGTCTGAAAGAAACACTGTTTGCCATGCAATGATACTTTCTGATAGTTTGAAAGCGAACCTTTTTTAAAGCTACTTTGTCCCGTTATCTCCTTTACCTTGAAAGTTAATATTTCCATTGTAATATCATAATACTTACTATTACAATTTATGATACATGGTGATATACGTGCCTGGTCATGTAATGATACTTACCTGGTCATGTAATGACACTTACCTGGCCATGTAATGACACTTACCTGGTTATGTAATGATACTTACGTGATACTTACCTGGTGATGTAATGATACTTACCTGTTATGTAATGATACCTTGACAGGTAACCAAGCTAAGAGAGCTTCTGAAGCGTGGTATAGGTGTTCACCATTCAGGCAGCATCCCACTACTGAAGGAGGTGGTTGAGTGCTTGTTCCATCGAGGTCTGGTCAAGGTAAGGGTCAGTTGGTGGTGTTTAGATGGTTAGATGTTAAGGTTTGGTCAAGGTAAGGGTCAGTTGGTGGTGTTTAGATGGTTAAGGTTTGGTCAAGGTAAGGGTCAGTTGGTGGTGTTTAGATGGTTAGATGTTAAGGTTTGGTCAAGGTAAGGGTCAGTTGGTGGTGTTTAGATGGTTAGATGTTAAGGTTTGGTCAAGGTAAGGGTCAGTTGGTGGTGTTTAGATGGTTAGATGTTAAGGTTTGGTCAAGGTAAGGGTCAGTTGGTGGTGTTTAGATGGTTAGATGTTAAGGTTTGGTCAAGGTAAGGGTCAGTTGGTGGTGTTTAGATGGTTAGATGTTAAGGTTTGGTCAAGGTAAGGTTCAGTCTTTAGCAATGTAGTGGGGAGAGTGTTTTAGATTTGTTTGTATAGGTTATTATCAGAGTAACGTGGTTTGATATTTTTTTAAATGTGTTAATTGTTGCAATAAATTAACTTTTCTTATAATACATTATGTTATTGCCTACTAATAAATACCTAATTATTACCAAGACTGCTTAAAGGTAATATCCATCCAAACAGCTAATTTAAAGCATGTCTTCCAATGTCATTCAATAAGCCTACTAAAACTACGTTCCCCTCTATCTCCCTCCACCCCACACCTTCACCCCACACCACCACCACCACCCCACCAACCCACACTACCACCTCACACCACCGCCACCATCACCCCACACCTTCACCCCACACCACCACCACGACCCCACCCCCCCAACCCACACTACCACCTCACACCACCACCACCACCTCACACCTCACATCACCACCAACACCTCACACCACCACCCCCACCACCACCACCCCCACCACCACCACCTCACACCACCACCCCCACCACTACCACCCCACACCAACACCTCACACCACCACCCCCCACCACCACCCCACATCACCACCCCCACCACCACCACCTCACACCACCACCCACACCACCACCACCACCACCACCCCCACCCCCACCCCACACCAACACCTCACACCACCACCCCCACCACCACCACCTCACACCACCACCACCTCACACCACCACCACCTCACACCACCACCCACAATACAACCCCACACCACCACCACCTCACACCACCACAACCTAACACCACCACCACCTAACACCACCACCCTCACACCACCCCCCCACACCACCACCCCACCCCACCACCCACACCACCACCCCACCACACCACCACCCCTCACCAACACCCACACCACCACCCCACCACCCCACCCCACCACCTAACACCACCACCCCCACACCACCACCCCTCACCACCACCACCCCACACCACCACCCCACACCACCTCCCACCACACCACCACCACCCCACACCACCACCCCACACCACCTCCCACCACACCACCACCACCCAACCCCACACCATCTCCCATCACACCACCACCACCCAACCGCACACCATCTCCCCGCCACCAGGTACTGTTTGCCACAGAGACCCTGGCCACGGGGGTCAACCTTCCTGCCAAGACCGTTATCTTTGACGAGCTGTGGAAGTTTGACGGGGTGGCGTCTCGCTTTGTGTACCCCGGGGAGTACATACAGATGGCGGGGAGGGCGGGGAGGAGGGGCATGGACACGGCTGGACACGTCATCGTCACGTGCGCGAAAAGCATGCCGGATTTGTACAAGTTACACACGGCCATGCAGGTAGGACAAAATTAATTGGTTTTACGCATTACATAATTGCACTCAGATAACAAACATTATAAAAAAGATTTACATATTACATAATTGCAGAATCAGTTTACAAACATTATCATAAGCTTTTACACTTTACATAATTGCATTCACATAATAAATATTATCATAAAGATTTACACTTGATACCTCATAAAATAACAGACTCAGATAACAAACATTATCATAAGCTTTTACACTTTACATAATTGCACTCATATACTAAATATTATCATAAAGATTTACACTTGATACCTCATAAAATAACAGACTCAGATAACAAACATTATCATAAAGTTCAACTTTTTAAAATATAGTATAATATGTTTTAAAATTTAATATATATACTTAGTACTCATCACTTCTTCAACACTTCTTTTCAAAATGTTAATCTATTTTTAAAAGACCATTTAGAAATTAACCCTCTTCCTATAATAGTTCTCCCAGTGAAAATAAACAGAAAATCTAAAAATGTTATCAGCACGCTCCTCAAGCTATTATTACCATAGACTAGAGCAACAACCTCTCTAAACCTCCTTATCTCCCTGTATACTATTATATACACATGAGGAAAAGCATGCATAAAAAAACATCAATACACATCTCACCACTGCCCTTTGATGTTAAACAAAATCCAAACTTTGTATTGGCATCCTTCTATGTCGCATGGCGCTTTTAACCACATCACCAATTCTCTACATCACCCTATAGGGCTGGTAAGTAGGTCACCAACCAGTTCTACTGCTCAATAAAACCTGCATGAGCCATAGAATTGGTTGGTGACCTACTTACCAGCCCTATTTATCCAACAGGGCAGACAGTCCCACCTGAGGTCAAAGTTCAGGTTGACCTACTCCATGATGCTCAACATGATGAGGTACCAGAGAGCGGACGTCCAGGAGATGATGAGGAAGAGCTTCCACGAGTTCCACACCAAGCGAGAGGCGGCTCGACAGCTGCTGGACATTAGCAAGAAGATGGACACACTCCAGGGTGTGGAGTGTAGGTACTGCCAGACTGACTTGGGCGAGTACTACCAGAAGTGTACTGAGTACTACAATCTGCAGGAACAGTTAATGGTAAAAATATATAGTTTTTTTTTACAATTTTTACTTTCTCGTAAATACGAAGTATAGAGAAAGTCTTGTAATCGTGCAAAAAAAAAAAATCGAGATTTTTACAGATCTCGACGTTTTACACCACACTGATACGGAAAAACAAAATTTTGCAATCTTGTCCGTATGTCTGTGTGTCTGTCTGTCTGTGTGTGTCTATCTGTCTGTGTGTAAACACGATAACTTGAGTACCGTTACAGCTAGGTTGATGAAATTTCATATATAAGTATTTTATCAAAATCGTTGATCCGTATCAACTTTTGAGCGATTTCTGATAAAAGGAAGTGGTACTTTTTCTACTTTGAATTTTTCAAAAGCCTATAACTTGAGTACTATTTCAGATAGATAAATGAAATTATTTCACATGTAAGTAAAAGATCTAATCCTCTACCTTCTATCAAATTTTGAGTAATTTCTGTTGACCGGAAGTACTAATTTTTGCTATTTCCGATTTCTCAAAAAACGCATGTAAATTTATAAAGTACTAATAATATTGCGCACTATTATGCACATTTTGTTTTGGCGTTCGCTTGGTGCTCAATTCTTTTTTCTATGAGATTTTATTCTATTTTTAAAAGTTTAAGTAATTAAAAATCATGTCTATATTGCAAGTTATAGAAGAATATTCGAGAAAGTTTAGGGCAGATCACTTCCGGTTTATTAAAATTTGTATTCAAGTTTTTATTGCTAAATTCGTATTAAAAAAATTAAGACCATAATACATAACGTTTTTGAACTTCAAACACTTAAAAAAAGAAGAAATATCTTATAACAGTGTTAAAATATGATAGTAAGACGGAAAACAAAAGATAACAAACAGTATCAGATTTGGCAATTATCTCAAATTGTATGAGTTTCTGTAAATAAAAAGAAAGAAGTTAAATGTATCTTAATTGACAGCACTATTTTCTCATGTGTGGAGGTCACGTACAATTTACTTTATCCGACCTCCAAGCCGTTAAATGTTGAGCCTAAATTTTTTCGCCATCGTAAAAAAAAAATGGTTTAAAATTCATAATTTATTCCTCTAAAGTAGTGTTAAAAGTTTTGAAGGTACTATTGACCTCTATTAAAGACCCAAGTTTTGAAGGTGTCCTTGACCTCTATCCCAGACCCAGGTTCTGTCAGTCCCCGCTGGTCTGGAACTCATGGCACCGGGACGTCTGCTGTTGGTCAAACGTCCGGGCGGTCAAGTTGACCTGGGTGTCGTTCTGAAGAAAGTTCTGTCGGACAAGTTCCAGCCGAATTTCCTCACTCTGGTCAACTGTGACGTCAGCGAGGAGAACTCACCAGAAGATGAGGGTGAGTAGAGATGTGTGGGGGGCTAGCTAAACACGGCAACGTGTGAGATTATGAGATCTTTCTGTGTGGACTAAACACCGAAATATTCCGGAGCATGAAATATTTCTGCAGGCGGCTAAAGACCGCAATATGCCGGGCTATGAAATATTTCCGTGTTGGCTAAGCACCACAATACGGTGGATTATCAAATGACACCTTATATAAAATTCATTTTTACTTGTTAGCTTACATTTATGTTATGGTTAAGCTTTCGGTACTTTAAAGTTCATGCTAGGTTTAGATATGATTGAACATTTGAAGAATTTCATGAAAGTGTTAATGATTAAACGTTAATAAACTATAGGTTAATTTTTAAAGTTTATCTTTAATAAATAGCAGTGTATAACGGTTAGAATGACATCTAATTGTTTGTTGGTAAGGCTAAGCTTTTGATAAAATTGAACATTCGTGTGTGTAGGAGTTAGTTTTCAGATATGTAGATCTATAAGATTGTATGTGGTACGGCTAATCAAAAGTTTCCTAATTAGGCATTCACCCACCCGGGCCAAACACCCCCACCTGCCACCAAGGTCAGCGCTCGCCCCTACTTCTGACCATCACCGCCAGCGATATCAAGGTCATCTGCCGGGGCAGTTTGTCGGTCAAGGCCGACGCTATTCTAAAGAACTTGGAGTATTGTAAGAAAAGGTAGATATGATAAAAAAATAAAAAATAAATAAAACGAAGATTATATCTGGAAGACATAATTTGTCAGTAATGTTTTTTTTTTCTAACGTAGAAAGGAAATAACAAAGTACAAATAGGTTGTAAGATCTTTTCTCGCATTTTAGCGACCACCGCTTTTGCTAAAGAAAGAAAGTTTGTTTTATTGAATTTTCGTTTGTGGGCTCGTATAGTTATTACTTTTATCTTTTGTGTTTAAAAAAAACGTAATCTATGATCGATTGATACGTAAATTTAAAAATCTGTGTCATGTTACTGTCTAGTCTATATTCACAATGTAGTGTTCTGACAAAAACTTTGCATCGAAGCATCTATTTTGATTGAAATTGTCTTTCAATTGTAAGGATACTTAGACTACATGCTTTATTACTGTACGCAGTTCTACTCCGTTTTATAAACCACCCCACGTAGTTGAAGTTATAATTCCTGACTCTACAAATCTCATTCCTCAGCGGTGCCGCACCCAGCCGGCCCGTCACATCCGTCCTGGAGAAGCTCTGGAAAAAAACCAATAGACGCGTCAAAGACCTGTCGTCCGTCAACCTCCAGGAACACCTGCACGGTGACGACATCGGCGAGATTCACCTGGCCATCCAGCAGTTGAATCAAGATTTGTTGAACGGCAAATATGTCTGCAAGCAATGTCCCAAGTTTAAACAGCACGTAAGCAATGTTTTTCTAACGGCTCAACTATCAATCTCTAGACGACATACCTGAGTATTTCAGTTGGCAATATAGGCGTGAAACGTACTAACGTTGTTGAAAATTATGTGCCTAAGATTAATACCAATTCCTATGTATATATATATATATATATATATATATATATATATATATATATATATATATATATATATATATGTATTATATATAAGGCATTGCGTATTTTTCTTTCCTATTTCTAACCCCCTGCCTGTCTAGTACGACTAGGTTTACTTGATATAGATTGTAAATAAATTATTATTGAGGACAAAATGTGTGTAGAGTTACTTTATTTGAATTCAAGTGTTTTCTGTTATTAGAATATGCATTCACATACGCACATGTGTAATAATTCCAATTATTTGCATGTGTTTTTCAGTTTTCCCAGCACAACCATAACCAGTACATTAAGGAAAAGCACAGAGAGTTAACGTTCCTGACTTCAGACGCCCATCAAACTTTATTACCGGAGTACACACAGATGATGCAGGTAAGATAACTCTGGTCATCCTACCCGTGGTTACAGTACTTGGTTGTGGAGTTATAAATATTTAAATAGAATACACCCTAACCATGCCATACTAAATACTCTTGACCAACCTAATGTACTACTGAAGAGCTTTAAAATATCGCATTAACATTTTTACGTTTAATGTCCTTTACTCCACCAAAACAAAACATTTGTTAACAATATTTTTAATCACGTGATGCAGGTGTTGAGAGACCTGGGATACATCGATGCCCATGACATCGTGCTGGCCAAGGGCAGAGCTGCCTCCTGCCTCAACACGCACGAGCTGGTCGTCACAGAACTGGTCGCGCGTGACCTGCTCAATGACCTTGACCCCGATGAGATCGCTGCCCTTCTCTCCTGTTTTGTATTTGAAATCAGCCGGAGCAAGAAACCAAGGCTCTCTGACTCCCTACAAACTGTACGTCATTTAATATTTTCTGACTACCTACAAACTGTACGTCATTTTACATCTTATGACTCCCTACAAACAGTACGTCATTTTACATCTTATGACTCCCTACAAACTGTACGTCATTTAATATTTTCTGACTCCCTACAAACTGTACGTCATTTAACATCTTATGACTCCCTACAAACAGTACGTCATTTTACATCTTATGACTCCCTACAAACTGTACGTCATTTAACATCTTATGACTCTCTACAAACAGTACGTCATTTTACATCTTATGACTCCCTACAAACTGTACGTCATTTAACATCTTATGACTCCCTACAAACTGTACGTCATTTACATCTTATGACTCCCTACAAACTGTACGTCATTTACATCTTATGACTCCCTACAAACTGTACGTCATTTTACATCTTATGACTCCCTACAAACTGTACGTCATTTACATCTTATGACTCCCTACAAACTGTACGTTATTTTACATCTTATGACTCCCTACAAACTGTACGTCATTTTACATCTTATGACTCCCTACAAACTGTACGTCATTTTACATCTTATGACTCCCTACAAACTGTACGTCATTTTACATCTTATGACTCCCTACAAACTGTACGTCATTTTACATCTTATGACTCCCTACAAACTGTACGTCATTTAACATCTTATGACTCCCTACAAACTGTACGTCATTTTACATCTTATGACTCCCTACAAACTGTACGTCCTTAACATCTTATGACTCCCTACAAACTGTACGTCATTTTACATCTTATGACTCCCTACAAACTGTACGTCATTTAACATCTTATGACTCCCTACAAACTGTACGTCATTTTACATCTTATGACTCCCTACAAACTGTACGTCATTTAACATCTTATGACTCTCTACAAACTGTACGTCATTTTACATCTTATGACTCCCTACAAACTGTACGTCATTTTACATCTTATGACTCCCTACAAACTGTACGTCATTTAACATCTTATGACTCTCTACAAACTGTACGTCATTTTACATCTTATGACTCCCTACAAACTGTACGTCATTTTACATCTTATGACTCCCTACAAACTGTACGTCATTTTACATCTTATGACTCCCTACAAACTGTACGTCCTTAACATCTTATGACTCCCTACAAACTGTACGTCATTTTACATCTTATGACTCCCTACAAACTGTACGTCATTTTACATCTTATGACTCCCTACAAACTGTACGTCCTTAACATCTTATGACTCCCTACAAACTGTACGTCATTTTACATCTTATGACTCCCTACAAACTGTACGTCATTTTACATTTTATGACTCCCTACAAACTGTACGTCCTTAACATCTTATGACTCCCTACAAACTGTACGTCTTTAACATCTTATGACTCCCTACAAACTGTAAGCAAAGGCGTAGCGAGGGCGAGGTGGGAGGTGCGGTCTACACCGGGTGACACTAAAGCAAAAAATTGCCAAATTTTCAGAAGAAAAATGCTTTTTTTGCATGTCCTATTTATAATTTTAAGTACATATTTAGTAATTTATATGAATATATAGATATATACTTTGTTTCTGGGGGAGGGGGGGGGGTGACACCACGAAGTGCCGCACCGGGTGACACCCGACCTAGCGACGCCACCGACTGTAAGTCACATAACATTTTATGACTCCCTACAAACTGCAAATGTGGGATTACTCCTTTTCTGACTTTACACAATGTTTAGATTTTTATTACTTACTTTTAAATACCCACTACAAATTGTACCGCTTCTTTCTACAAACGAGCAAACAGTAGACATAATTGTACATTTCATTGAATTGGATTTAATATTTATTTTCTATTGACACCATTAATTCAAAGTTATGAATCGTTTAGGCTTCAAGTTAGTACAATACTTAGTAAAACATTGGACAAAACTTCGCGATTATTTTATTTCTACCGCTAGTTGTGGACTGGGCCGCCGGTGTACGGAGAAGAATACCTATGGGCTTCAGGGAAGATAGCAGTGATATTTCAAAATTTATATCAGACTTGGCCGCTTTCCTGAGTATTTTTTCCTGGCTGCCCAAACACTCAAGTCCATCATTACAAAAATCACAGCTTAAATCATCTCCTTAACAACGATCTTATTTGTTACATTCTACATGACCCTAACTCTATTCCTGATCAAAACCTTTTACCAGTGAAAAAAAAAAACTCGCCTAAGATCCTTAATAAAACAGTTTTATCAGCATGTTAATTAGTGGCTGTAATTTCGATAATTAACTTTAATTTACTACAGGTCTGGAGAATATCCTGAGGGTGGCGGAGACAGTCGGCGAATGCCAAAAAAATGCTGGGATGTTGATGCCAGTGGAGGTCTTTAAAGAACAGCTGCATTTTGGTTTGGTGGAGGTTGTGTATAGGTGGGCTCAGGGAGAGGTAAGTTTTGTTGGAGGTTTGTGTAGGTGGGCTCAGGGAGAGGTAGGTTTTGTTGGAGGTTTGTGTAGGTGGGCTCAGGGAGAGGTAGGTTTTGTTGGAGGTTTGTGTAGGTGGGTTTATAGAGGGGTAGGTTTCGTTGAAGGTTTGTGTATGTGGGTTTATATAGAGGTAGGTTTTGTTGGAGGTTTTGCACAAGCGATTTTATAGAGAATGTATTATTTGTCATGGCTGTGTATTCAGACAGATGTAGATGTAGATGAATGAGATGCAGATGGGCTGCCTTTGTGCATCACAAAAAAAAAAGATTAATGTTGGCATTTAATCGATGAGATCACAGAGATGAATATATTCTCATTTTAATTCAAAATTGATCAAAGCTTATGAACAGATGGGAATTTTTTTTTTTCAAAATATAAAAAAAATGTTCGTTACTTGTATTATATAGAAGCATCTAACCTTTAAACTTTAACAGTACTTGTCAAAACTTGCCGAGGACTCACAATTAGACGAAGGCGTCATTGTCAGGGCCATACAAGCCTTGGTCGAGTTGTTGGGCCGGGTGCAGAGCGCTGCAGATGGTCTCGGGATCGAATCCCTCCCGGAGAAGTGCCAAAAGGCTGTGTTCCGTATCAACCGTGGGATTATCCTGTTGCCCAGTCTTTACCTGGAGCCCGGGGGTGACAGGGAGGAGAGCAGCAGCGAGGAGGGGGGATCTGATGAAGAGGACGACGACAGTGATGATGATGTTGTTATTGAGGATGATGATAATGGAGACGAAGATGAGGAAGAGGAAAAGGTTATAATTAGTGCAAGAAATCTAAAAATTTAAGTCAGTTAATGGAGAAAGGTCAATTAAATTTTCGGGTTTTTGAAACAAATAAATAAGCAAAAAAAATCTACAAAAAGTAAGAGATAAACAAAGTAAAACACGATTACAATGAAAATGATGATAATGAAAATTATAATAAAGAGTAAATAGAATCCAGTGTTGATGTTTAGTGTATAGCATAAAAATTTTAGAACAAGAAGTGAACAAATAAGACAATAGTTAAAAAAATTTTCCCCCAGGAAATCAAAGTGCCATAAGTTTGGATTTTCTAATTTTTTGGACGCATGTGCGGCTTTATTTGCCATTTTATTTGAATTTTATTTTCAGAATGACACAGGTCATTAAATACCATAGTTAACCGTTGCTAAAGATAAGTGCAGTATACAGAAATTGTGTCAAGACAGTCTATTTCCATAATGTCCACTTGACCTCAGAACCTCAGCTACATCTGATGTGAAACATGACCAACACATGTCAAACACATGTCATACACATGTCAAACATGTCAGTATTTTGTCAGACATTGTTGACTGCAGTTATAACACTGTATGTGATCACGTATTTCATGTGTGAATATTTCACATCATTAAATAATGTATTTCATGTGTGAATATTTAACGCTGAAGTGTTTTGTTAAATTTATATTAATTTTATTAGACAATAACACTTGTTCAATTAAAGTCTTTATAGTTTATGGTATTGATTTAACCCGAGTTATAATTTATTTAAATTTATTTATAGTGAATATACATTCACAACCTAATTATGCTAATTTAATAACAAACATTGTTGCAATAATACACTTATTTGGATTAATTTATTTATATACTATATTTATTGTAATAAATCTGCTATCTATTCTGAGCTTTATTATATCTTTATGGTTTGCTTTCGGCAACTTCTGCAACTGTAGGTGGTACCAAACGTAATGCTAAGCACGGAAAAGGTCGAAAGATGGACCAATCTAGAGTTTCTTTCAGGCATCTCTTCGGGGGGGGGGGGGGGGGGCTTCGTCCCCCCGAACGAAATAAAATTTATATAATTTATATAGGAAATATATACTTTTAACAGTGTCTGCCCCCCCCCCCGAAGAAAGTCTACTGCCCCCCCCCCCCCCCCCCCGAAAATTTCAAGTGCCCTCCCGGAGAAAAAAGTCTGGAAGAAACACTGGACCAAACGTAATGTTAAGCACGGAAAAGGTCAAGGGACAGACCAAACGTATAGGAAACCTATGGTTTCTTTACCTAATGTTCATCTTCGCACCCTGAAGAGGATATTTTCTTCGGGGGCTGCATCTTGTGTCTGCCGCCATAAAAGGAGACATTTTTTTAAATTTTATTTTAATAAAATGTGCATATTTAGTTTTATAAGTTGATGTAGCTGCCATTGACTTGTTCTTTGTAAATAATGAACTATTTTTTATTGTTCATTCCATCGAAAACTACAATTCTTATTTTCTTTTTTTTTTGCTTTTTTATTGAAAACACTAATAAAAATTATTGAAAAAACTAGCTACATTTTGTTAGTCTTGTTGTTTTGTTAAAACTCGTCTATTTTGTCAAAATGTTGGTTATTTTAAAGTGAAAATGATGAAAGTCCATTTTGTGCTAGAAAGAAGACTATAATATTCTCTTAGGCCACGATCAAAATTTTGCCCTCTCTTCAGTGGCCGACTAAATTGTTTTGGCCTAGTTTGTAGTATCAGTTGTGATGCAATAAAAAAAAAGTAAAACTGTACCATATTCGAAATCTTCTACATCTAAACTTAAACCTAACCCAAAATTTATCTCTAACCTAACTAAGATAAAACTGTCCTTAATGTTACCCTACGATGGTAGGTTAGATTTGTTAATGACCCTATAATTAGGGTCAATTAGTTGTAAAATACAGGGAGTGTAATTGATCTGAGCCTAATGTGTGTGTGTGGGAAGGGGGGGGGGTCAGAAGATGAGTTGACACGATAATGTCAGGTGGTGATACTTTATAAGTGGGGGTGATGCCCTGTCCCCATATAGTACTAACATTAACGGACCCTATATAAATATATATATATATATATATATATATATATATATATATATATATATATATATATATATATATATATATATATATATATATATGTATATATATATAATATCATATATATATATATCATATATACATACAGCCTCATCTGCCACATATACCATAATATACCATTATATATATATATATATATATATATATATATATATATATATATATATATATATATATATATATACTATCATATATACATACAGCCTCATCTAACACATATACCATCTACCATCACATAACATCATGTACAACTAAGATATATATTTAGATAGACCTATCTATGTGCAAAGATAAATATGTAGTTTACGGAAATACACCCCGACTTCGTTAAAGAACAGTCAAAGATAGACTATTTTTAGCAGGTTAACCTCTTGAGATAAGCGTTAGAAATAGGATCAAGACTGTAGTCAGCACGTGTGCTAGAGTTAGAGGTAAATACAAAGGTAAGGCTTAGGGTTAGGATGGGGTTAGGGTAACAACATACACACAATGTAGTCGGAACACGAGTTTCGGCGCTGCAATGAACCACGCCAACTCCACTGCCATTCTGTACCCAAGGGTCATATACCTTAAGACGCAACAGCTTTACGAAATCGATACGATTAAAATTGAAATACTAAATACCCGAGACGCTGCGTCACAGTTGGGATATACTCAAGCGGGAATGCGGTATTGTGTGTGGCGTGGGATCGATACTGTTTGAACCAAGTGCTACAATACCATACGCTTCGACACAACTGAGATATACTCAGGCGGTATTGTGTGTGGATTGGATCAATACGGTTTGAATCAAGTGCTACAATACTATGTGCCAAAGTGAAACTCTATCCAAGTGTATTAAAATATAAACCTATTGATTAAACCAGCTGACACTACCATTGCGGTCATCCACATTTTTTTGGTGTACAGTTTGAACACTACACCATAGTACAGTGGTTCTAATATTACCGTGGGTGTACCTATCGCAAGATTTAGTGGACAATCAGAACACTACACCATAGTACAGTGGTTTTAATATTACCGTTGCTGTACCTATCACAAGATTTAGTGGACACTTAGCACACTACCACATAGTACAGTGGTTCTAATATTACCGTGGGTGTACCTATCACAAGATTTAGTCTGCAATCAGCACACTACCTCATAGTACAGTGGTTCTAATATCACTTTAGGTGTACCTATCACAAGATTTAGTTTACAATCAGAACACTATCTCATAGTACAGTGGTTCTAATATTACCGTGGGTGGAACTATCACAAGATTTAGTGGACACTTAGCACACTACCTCGTAGTACAGTGGTTCTAATATTACCGTGCGTGTACCTATCACAAGATTTAGTGGAAAATCAGAACACTACCCCGTAGTACAGTGGTTCTAATATTACCGTGGCTGTACCTATCACAAGATTTAGTGGACAATCAGCACCAGTTTCTTCCAGGCATCTCTTTGGTTCTTTGGTCTGCCCCCCCCCCCTCCGAAGAAAGTCTACCGCCCCCTCCCCCCCCCCCCCAGAAATTTTTTTAATGCCCCCCCCCCCCCCCCGAGAAAAAAGTCTGGAAGAAACACTGATCAGCACACCACCCCGTAGTGCAGTGGTTCTAATATTACCGTGGGTGTACCTATCACACGATTTAGTTGAGTTATTCTTTATTTTCACGAGCAACACTGTAGAAATAAACCGAGAGTGATCTCCCCTAAACTTTTTCGAATATTCTTATATAACACTACGGGGGATGGCAACTCGGGATATAAACATTATTTTAAATCAATAGAATAGAATCTCGTAGAAAAAAAGAATTGCGCACCAAGTGAACGCCAAGCAAAATGTGTATAATAGAGCGGAATATTATTAGTACTTTATAAATTCACATGCGTTTTTTGAGAAATCGGAAATAGCGTAAATTACTACTTCCGGTCAACGGAAATTACTCAAAATTTGACAGAAGACAGAGAATTAGATCTTTTACTTACGTGTGCAATTTTATATATCTTTCTTAAACAGTACTTAAGTTATAGGCTTTTGAAAAATTGAAAGTAGAATAAGTTCCGCTATCGGTTACCGGAAATCCGTGAAAAGTTGTAAATCTGAAAATCTCGATTTATTTTTGGGCACGATTACAATACTTTCTCTATACTTCGTATTCGAGAAAGTAACAAAGTCATAAAACGCTTGTGAATGTACCAAACCGAAAGGGATTTTAAAAAGTGTATAATATTCAACGATAAAGTACAAGGGATCTCAAAAAGTTTTTAAACGTAACCAAGTTGCAAGTCACTGCAGTGAACTATCTATATGATAAACGCTTTAGCTAATTTATGAAACGTGTTACCTGTTTCTCTATAACACACGTGTGTTGGTTTATGGACACAAGAGGTGACATATTTGGATCGAATTTGGATTTAAACACCTGCCCTCAAACACCTGCCTTCAAACAAACATTTAAAAAAATTGTAATTTTAAAAATTTACGCCCAATTAACTGTTGCATGAAACATATTTTCTTTCAGTTCAAAGGTAACTGAACTCAAAAACGTACTGAACATTTTTCTAGAAAAGACATTTTTTTTCTCCTCTTTAATTTTTTTAATTTGTAAGCTTGAAATTATAATTTTTAAAAGCTGCATGTTATTTCTACTGTTGAGCACGAAGCAATAAGTCATTAGAACGCATCTTTCAAGCTGTTTTCTTTACTAACCACCCCAACACCACCGACATATAAAACACTTGCTTTATACCAGGGTGTTTTAATGAGTATTGTCTATCGTTCATCAGTAGCGTAGCGAGGGGGGGGGGGGGGGGGGCGGGGGGATATATGTCCCCGGGCGCCGACCTTAGGGGGCGCCAAAATGGGTTGGAAAAATAAATTGAAAGGTTGATGGGGTGCAAATCGAAATTTTGAGGGGGGGGTGCAAATCGAAATCTTGAGGGGGGGGGGGTGCAAATCGAAAAGTTTGTCCCCGGGCGCCGGGAAGGGTCGCTACGTCTCTGTCGTTCATTAGCTTCTAAAATAACACTCCACATGAACGATGATCGATCGATCTATCTCCATTACTTTATTATCTCTTGATGGTATTGATTTCTATTTTGTATTAATTTTAGAGCTAATATGTGTTTAATTAAAGCATATAACATGCATGTTGTAATTCCAGCATTCGGTGCAAACTTTAGTTTATAGTCTCTAACCACATTAGCAATTTATATGCCAAGGTCAAGAAACATATAAACTCTACTTCATCTGACCAATGGATCGTTAGGTCTAGAGAGAAATCTTTACTTTTAGTCTGTAACTCTATTGATAGCGATCTAGCACCGTGTAAATTTTGACTAATTGATTTTTTTTTAAATTTATGGTTCAAATCGTATTAGATAATTCAATTCACTTACTTCTTTGTGACCCCCGGGGGACCACACCTTTCCACCGGACTCGGGTTTGAGCGTCAGGCAGGACGCCTGGGGTTTGAACGTCTTTCTTTACTTGCGCCCACATAAACCCGGCAGCCCTTGCCTCATTTTCCCTTGACCGATCTACTTTCCTCTTCCCCTGGGGATTCCATTCTAATACTTTCCTTGCGCCTAAGTCCTCTCCCCTTGTCAAGATGTGTCCTGTCCCCCCGTATCTAAGTGATTTAATATCCCTGTCTATTAACTGTTTGGTGTTCCCCACATCTCTTTATTGGATATTTTGTCTGGCTATCTTATCGTGAGGATCTGTCTTAAACATCTGTCTGTAAACGAATGTAACCTGTCTGTATTTATTTGTTTTGGTAACCCCCCCCCCCCCCCCAGGTCACAGTGCAGTAAAGAAATATTGCCTTAACAGTAACAATTTTAAGATTCTAATCTTGCTGTGCACTTCCATATCAGTTGTAGTGAGTTTAAACCTCCACATCTGGCCATGTTGATACGGCTTTTTATGCCCTCGTCTGACCCCCCACCCCACCCCACCCCCACAGATACGTGAATTTGTTTCTGGTATGTTTTCTCCATTTAGCTGTATATAGTCAGGTCCTGGTTGTAATTGATTCTGATGACCTCTGTTTCATTTTGATTGATTTAAACTCCAACTTTGGACGTTTCTTCAGATAGTCGATTCAGTTTAGTTTGTGCTTGTGAGATAGTAGTCAGATGTCATCAGCAAAATCAAGACCTTCCAGCCTTTTGGTGAAATTCCCCTGGATTCCTGTGTCGTTGTTTGTAGTCGTCTGTATGATCCAGTTACCATCAAGAATATCATTGACGAAAGCATTCATCGCTTTCCCTTTACTGTCTTCTCCGTGGAAGAGTTTGTTAGTTGTTTTCTTTTTGCTAGATTAGAGAGTATTTTTTTTTATTTGAGAAACTAAACAGTTTATTTCAAACACAACCGCTGTGAGAAGCACTGGTTTAGATTTCAAGAATTCTCCGCTAGTACAAAGAGTGGCTTAACCATTGCACTGTATCGCGACTAAGAGGATTAAAAACTGTTTCGCCGCTTGAGATAAGTTTATGAGGTGTTTCGTTTCGTACCAGATCAATGGCACAGGCTTGTTTTTGTTTTTTATTCTACCGATACACGACAAAAAAGTCAGATTTAATACGGTAAGCAGCTGGAGGTACTGTTAGTCGAAACCGCCAGTAGGGCGTATCGAATCTGTATCGCCGGGTTGGTATCGTTACGTTTATTTAACTCTAACTTTGATCTTGGACTTAAGCCTGAAGTACAACGCAAGCGTTCACTATAGAACTGCTTTTATTCGTACATCAATATTGAAATTTTGTACTTGTTTCAGCGATACCGTTAAAATAACTCGATTCAATACTCTGTTCGATACTGTATTGCCCAAACCTTAATTTTAAGGCTTACAATATAGTACAAAAAACCCAAGGATTAAAGTGGAAAATTACTTGTTCGTATTGCGTATGAAACGCAATAACTGTGTTTTTAACATTTCTGTCTAAAAACTTTTTTGCTTCAGGGCGCGGCAGGTTTTGTCATTCTTCGGAACCAAAGAAATCAATTCATTTTGTACAGATTTTATTTCGTCTTTGACATTAGGAGACTATCATTTGATGTGCAGATGATTCTAGAGAGGAAAAAAGCAACGCTGCAGAAACTAAAACTTAACAGACGTTGGTTTGTGTGTTGTCTAACGGTACTGACAGTTAAATTAACATCATCAGAGTTTGAGGGTAAGACAGCAGGTTAAGATGTGTAGCGTGAAGATTTGTACTCGTTTAAGTTAGCATAAGTTCTCTATAAACATTGTGAGTTGATCGTTATCAGATTTCTTGATTCGGTCTTAAAGTTGTGCATGTGGGTTAAAAATTAGTGAAAATTAATGTTTTAATCTGTCTTCTAAGTTTGTTGACTCCGCACATTTTAATAGAAAATATAACATTAGAATAATCAATTTTTGGCATTCGAGAATTTACAACATAATCCTTCATGTATGATGGCAGTGCACAGGTTTAATTCCTAGCTACAACACCTGCTTGATAAAGCGTGTTGATAAAACAGTGTTGTTATATGTTTAAATCTTGGCTTCAGTTTACAATGCCTCGGTCGTTTGTGTTCAGCCGGCTCAAGTTTTTTACATTCGCTGTTTTCTCTTGTGCGATTGCTGTCATCTACGTCATTAACCATGGCACACAGATCACCGTATTTTCAGTTCATCAGACGTACAATCAGACAAACAAGGCGCTAAGGTTAACGCCACCAGAAAATCTAGCACCAAAACAGGCGTGTATCCATCCGCCGATAAAGATGGACGACCCTGTGATGATGTCGTACTACAAAAAATTTCCCCCGCCCGTGTGTAAAGGCGAGGAGAATTGGGTCTACGTCGACAACGGTACCTTGAGGTTTTCTAAATCAGTCGTTGAGAAATACGGGAACTTCACCTGCGATTTTTATAACTTAGTGAGGATTCATGAAAGGGAAGTAACGTGGGGAAGTGTCTACGTGAATATTTCCGAAGGGTATCGTATTCCAACGGATTTTTTCAAAGTGATCTGCAAGAGTGAGGATCGCCATAGGTACGAGGGCATCCACGCGGGGGTGGCGTACACCCACGACAGAGCCAACCGACCGGAAGTTGAGCTGACCGAAGGGCTGGGCGGGGTGAGTGTGGTGCTACTGGGGCACGACTCACTGTCAAGGCTGTCGTGGATGCGGCACCTGCCCCAGACGCGTGAGTACTTCCTGAGCCTGGGGGCCATAGAGCTGGAGTCACACAACATCGTGGGGGACGGGACGACGGCCGTCATGTTCCCCATGCTGACTGGCAGGTTTGAGAGGGAACTGCCCGAGTGTGGGTAAGTCCTGGGGGTCTAGAACATTCTAGTAGTAGGTCGTGCTGTTTCAAAGCATTTGAGTAGGTCGTGGTGTTTTAAAATAAGTTAGTTTGTTGTGGTGTTTTAAAACAAGATAGTTTGTTGTGGTGTTTTAAAGCATTTTAGTAGGTCATGGTGTTTTAAAGATGTTAGTTTGTTGTGGTGTTTTAAAATAAGTTAGTTTGTTGTGGTGTTTTAAATCATTTTAGTGTGGGTAAGTCCTGGGGGTCTAGAGCATGCTGGTAGGTCGTGGTGTTTTAAACTATGTTAGTTTGTTGTGGTATTTTAAAACAAGATAGTTTGTTGTGGTGTTTTAAAGATGTTAGTTTGTTGTGATGTTTTAAAGTATGTTAGTTTGTCGTGGAGTTTTAAAGATCTTATTTTGTTGTGGTGTCTTAAAGCATGTTATTTTGTTGTGGTGTTTTAAAGATGTTAGTTTTTCGTGGTGTTTTAAAATATGTTAGCTGGTTGTGGTGTTTTAAATATGTTAGTTTGTTGTGGTGTTTCAAAGCTTTTTAGTTTTTTGTGGTGTTTTAAATCGTGTTAATAGGTCATGTTTGGTGTTGTAAAAAATGATTTTTGACTTTATAAAAATTATTTCTAATCTAATACTAAAACGCTACTTTGTGAACATGGGACTTTGTGTTGCGAAGTCTGATTAAAGGTGATGGGATATAGAGTGTAGGTGGGTGGGTAGATGGGTAGATGGGTGGATGGGTGGGTGTGTGGATGGGTGGATGGGTGGGTGGGTGGATTGGTTAAGTACAGCTCGGCCTCTCAATGGACCACCTCACATGTCTAACTAGCCCTAGTCGCATTCAATCACCCCTAAAGGTAGAAATAAAACAAATTGTAATAATAAATCAAAATATAGATTGGTTGATAATTTCGTAACTTTTAAAATCCTCTATTTTATCCCGCATCACTTCGGCGTGGTCGAGTCGGTAAACCACATGGTTGCAAAACCGAAAAGTTTCGAGTTCGAACCCTCGGGCAGCTGAGGCTAGATAGCTGGGGGCATCAACTCTTCTAGGAGAGACAACTCCAAATTCAAACAACTGCTGCCTAGTAGTTTGTTCTTGGTTGGATAAAGGTTATGGAAGCAAATCCAAAAAGAAAAGCAGACTGAAATCGGAGTCAACGGCCTCAATGGCGCATAACCAGTTGTCACGTATTTGTTTCAGAGGGGATCCCTTCCACCACTAGAATTAAGAACGAAGAAGAAGAAGACTTCGACCGAGAACGAGTAAAGCGCCGTCTAACTTAAGAACTTCCCATATCCGTCTAAAGCCTCCGTGTCCAACTACTCCCGAAAATGTTATTCAAATAATTGTTCCAACAAATCTATTTCACGTTGTTAAAAAATCTCATAACTTTTATCATCTTTCTATTCCTTACCCCCTCCCCCCCCCCAGCCTGAACGAGAAAGGCGCCATCCCACTAGATGACTTCCCCTTTCTTTGGCACGACTTCAAGAGAGCCGGGTACCTGACGTCATGGGCGGAAGGTCTGTCCGGTGCCTTCACCTGGCGGATGCTGGGGTTCAGCCAGCAGCCGACCGACTTCTTCACCCGCCCCTTCTTCTACTCCCTCAAGCAGGGGCGGGAGTTCAATGCCCCCTGTATCGGATCACAGAGGACCCACCAGGTGTGGATGAACTACTTCCGGGATATTTTCCTCATGTACAGGAACAAGAGGAAGTTTCTGGTGCATTTTTTCTCGGAGATGAGTCATTGGGACAATAACTTGATTACAAGGGTGAGTACAACGTGACATGTGTCTCTCACGTGACATCTGCGATGTGGCGTCTGACGGTGACGTGACACCTAACTGTAACGTGACATTAGTCCGTGACGTGAACTGTGTCTTTGATATGAAAGTCGTCTCGGACGTGGCACGTGAACATTTCTTTCAAAAGTGTCTGTGTCAAGACAACTGTGACAGCTTTGATGTGACACCTGTGATGTGACACTTGTGATATGACACTTGTGATATGACACCTGTGATATGAAACATGAGATATGACACCTGTGATATGAAACATGTTATATGACACCTGTGATATGACACCTGTAATATGACACCTGCGATATGACACCTGTGATATGACACCTGTGATATGACACCTGTGATATGAAACATGTTATATGACACCTGCGATATGACACCTGTGATATGACACCTGTGATATGAAACATGAGATATGACACCTGTGATATGACACCTGTGATATGACACCTGTGATATGACACCTGTGATATGAAACATGTTATATGACACCTGCGATATGACACCTGTGATATGACACCTGTGATATGAAACATGAGATATGACACCTGTGATATGAAACATGTTATATGACACCTGTGATATGACACCTGCGATATGACACCTGTGATATGACACCTATGAGTTACATACAATACGCCTTTGAAATGACATGTGACATGATGTGACTTGGCATCTCTCTGTGCCGTGACATCTGCCTGTAAAATAACAACTGTTTATGAGTGCCAGTAGTTCTCGATAAAAGACTACTTGGTTAATAAAAGTTTCACAGATAATCGAACTTTTATGATTGGATAAGTGTCTCATTTAAGCAGTAACTTATACCATTTTTAATTTTTATCTCATACAATATATGAATACCTATATAAACTATGAGCTTCGTATAGGAATATTTTTTGCTGATCATGAACTAAAACAAAGAAGCAATTGAAATATAAATATTTGAATTTAATCTTTCAATGTTTATGTGAGATGAGATATTATTTTCTTCCAGATCGACGGTGAACTAAAAGACTACCTGCAGTTCCTACACGACGGCGGTTACCTGAACAACACGTTGTTGATCCTGTTGTCAGACCACGGCGCCAGGTACGGCGACATGCGCTCTACCTGGCAGGGCAAGGTGGAGGAGAGGCTGCCCTACTTCTCCTTCCTGTTCCCCAAATGGTTTGAAGAGAAATACCCCAAGGCCATTCAAAACCTGCGGACAAACACCCATAGACTGACCACGCCTTTTGACATCCACGAGACGTTGAAAGATTTTTTACGTTTTGGTGGAACGGAGGTGGGGAATGTCTCCAATAGAGGGATCAGTTTGTTTAAAGAGATTCCATTGGATAGGACGTGTGAGCACGCGCAGATCGAGCCCCACTGGTGCGCATGTCTGGCGTGGCAGAACGTGTCGTCTGCCGACCCGTTTGTTCAAAACGTCACCAAATTTGCCGTGGGATACATCAACAGCCTCACTTCCGCTTTCAGGAGCGAGTGTGCGGAATTGAACATCGAAAACGTGACGGAGTCTTTGATTCTCAAAAGTCGGAAAGAACTTCTGAAACACTCGAAATACAAAAACAGCAACGACATGACCTTGTTCCAGTTGACCTTTTTCACCACACCGGGTCATGGCCATTTTGAGGTCACGGTCACGTACGACAATGTAAGAGACACAATGGCGATCAGTGAAAGGGAGATAAGTCGAATCAACAAATACGGAAACGACGCTGCATGCATTTATAACAAAAACAATGATATAAGACCGTATTGTTATTGTATAAAGGATGTTACATCCATGGTATAGCTACTGTATTAATAATGTTTCTGCTATAGTAAACTCATTGTATAAAAAATTACTATTATAATTACTAAATAATTAATATTGCAACAATGGCACACTTACTGTATAAATAATGTTACTACTATGTTGTGATATATTTTTAAATTATGATCTTATAACGTAATGGTGGTTGTAGAAACTATTTTATTTTAAAACTTTATGGAAAACGTAAAAAAATATAGATGGAATGTTTCAACAATAGTTACTTAATATAAAGTAAGGTAACAACTGTATTTGTATTGTTACTGTAGAGATATCATTAAAACGACATTATAATTACTGTTGAAATATTGTTACAACATATTATAGCTCATGTAGAAAAAATGTGAAAAAAAGTTACAATTTTAAATAATATTAAAACAATAAAAGAAAAACAGTGTAGTTACTTTGTATATAGGCTACGTTTAGACGAAAATAATGAAAACTAAACTATTTTTGCTTAAAGTTCCATGAAAATATGTGTGATCTTTATGTCTAGTGCTTGAATATGTGTAATTTCGACTGATGAGATTTAAGTGTTGGCGGCTGGTGAGGTGGTTCAGCACATGACTGCTAACCCGAGGGTCTCGTGTTCGGATCTCGAGACAGCAGGACTTGCGTGAGTTTACCCAGCTCTGATGGGTACCTGACTCACGATTGGGAAATGAGCTGAGGCTGGACCTACTGCTGACCACATTATCCCCTTGTATGCCGCGGTCTTTGAAACAGAAGAATTCTAATTCATCTGCACCATATGTCTTGGGCACGAAAGCGAAACGATGAGATAATGATGATTTTATTGTACCTGTTAATATCACTAAATATGTAGTTCACTATATCAAATAGACAGTAGTACCCAATGGTCATGTACAGTCATGGGACCTACCCTCACGTTGAACACAAATCTGGTTCTAGACAAATATGTGCTCGCTGATTTAGCCGATAACAATACCTAATACACACACTAGCTCTGTAATTTATCCATCCCTTATTAAAACCGTTACCTTTACACAAATTATGGGGAACGGCGTGGCCTAGCGGTAGAGCGCTAACCCGAAAGTATTGAGTTTGTAGTGAACGAGAGAAGGGGATGAATGGGAGTGAATGTTGTTGTTACTTGGTACCCTATCCCGTTCGTCCTTGTTCAGTTCTCGTGCTGTGAGTTGTAATAGTCCGGTTTGTACCAGTTTATGAAAGGGTATATAAGGTGTGTGAAAACGTGTGTGATGGCCTCAGTTTTGTCCAGATCTCCAAGGTTAGTACAGGTTAGGTTTATACTAGTATTTAGCCACTGGATCGTAGTTTTACTAGTTTGTGTGTTTTGTGTTTAGACTGTGTTAGGTATAGATAGTCTAGATACTATTAAATTCGTTTAGTTTCAACGAGCCTTTGTTTCTTTTAGTCTTGTTTTGTAACCCGTTTGTGGTTGTTTGTGTTATAATGTGTTGCGCTACGCATCGGATCACCCGAAAGGCGTGTGCGTGTGTTCACAACAGAGTTCGAATCAGGGTTCAAGTCAATAATCGTCCAAGAATCAAATATTTACTTGTGTGCAGATATAGTTAAGGGAATTCCCGGTTTACTTTGACCCAGTTTCACTATTGATGATAAAGTTCAGCTTGACCCGGAGTATGACGTCACACTGCCTGCCACTTCTCCCTGCATGAGGGACAGGATTATTGTATCCTATGGATTAACCGTACCCACACATCCACACAATAAATAACAATAAAAACCTTAACCCTAAGGTTTAATGTTAGAAATATTTAAAGCCTTTGGGTTGTTTTAATAACCAAACTCATATTTTCACGCAGCCGGTATAGACCATACATCGATTTTAAATCTAAGGTTTAGATTTAGTAATTGGCGTAGGCTTAGTGTTGTGTTTAATAGTTAGGGTAAGTATTACATGTAGAGTGAATGTTAACATTAGCTGAAGTTTTTAAGTTAGTGTCGTTATCGTTCATAGTAAGTAACCGCATACCTAGGTACGGGTAATCAACATGAAACTTAAATTGTTCATAAAACACGCATTGACACCAAAGTAATGAGTTAGATTAGTTATAGTTAGTTTAATTTTTTAAGTTAAATTATTACATCGATGACAACAGTTATATAAACATATGGGTACGGCTAACCAATATGTACCCGACTGTTTAACAAATCAGCAGCCGTATCTAAGGAGTCATTGACCCACACCTATAAGTTTCGTTGACCTCTCAACTTGGTCCGTAACTGTGATAAAAGACATTGATTCCAAGAAATTTTTACAGTTGTCTACTTTCGGTTTCGTGAAACCCAAGAACGTTTAAATGGAAGGAAGTCTTACGTAAGATTATTACTGGGAAACACTCAGTGCATGTTTCGTTATGCTCCGTGGTTACTTTTTGCTGTGGTAAGTTCATTTTTTTTTTGTTTGTTAACAATTAATTGACAGGTGAACTATTTGTTTTTCTGTTCAGGTAAGTTTTAGTTTAGATAAGTTTTAGTTTTATTATTCTAAATTAAGGAATGATGTTAAATTAAATGACGTTAATTAAAATAAATATTAATTGTGTTTTTACATGAACCAATTCCAGAAAGTAGACATCAAATTATTGTTTTAGAAACCTACAATAGCTGAAACTTTAGGTCAAGACTAACCTTAACCCTAACTGATCGTTTGCCATAAGCTAAATAATTTTAATAAATATGTTTTTTTCCTAGCTCTCAACCCTAACCGTAAAACTACAAATATAATTAGCACCAAATTAAATACGTTAAAAGTTGAAAGTCCACAAGATGGCCGCTTGTTCCACCTACCGACAGCACAGTCCTACCATTACTGTTGGGTTGATGTGACTCCTCGATTGATTTTAAGACGTGGGTCGGGGCATCAGCTGATTAGCTTTTATTTAATTAATGCACGAACAATTTTTGTCTGAATATTAACAAAAGACGTCACAGTTAAGTCACATTAAAAGCAGAATAAAAAGTTTATGTACGGCCGACCCGAAGGGGGCGCCAAAAGGGGTAGAAAAATTAATTTAAATGCTCATTTTAAGCTGAAGTATTGAATTAACCATAGTCAAAGTTACGAAAATATACGACGACTGCAGGGCTTTACACCAAGGGTCTCCAAACTTTTCAGCCCGAGGTCCGCATTAACTATCAAATATCAGTTCGAGGGCCAGAGTTTCTTACATGCATCTCTTTGGGGTGGCGGACCCCCGCCCCCAAATCGAAATATAATTTATATAGAAATATATACACATTTAAAATGCCCCCCCCCCAGGAGAAACAGTCTGAAAGAAACGCAGTCAGGGTCAACCATAGAGTTCAAAGTTTGTTCTCCTTGGGCAAACACAACTACCCACCCGCCATTTTACGAACTTGACTCTAAGGAGGTCATTTGCTTGCAATTCAATGACCATCTGCATTCCTCTGAACAACTGTTTACATTTGCTTCAATTGGGGTTTGAAACAGTCTCCCTTCTTCTGCCTTTGAATTCTAGCTAGAAAACCGCTACTGAAACTGCAGCTGGAGGTCTTTTAATGATCTCGTATGCAAATGATGTGGGGAACACAGCTGTTGCTACAGCCATGAAGACCTTGCACTGCTGAAAGTGCGCCATATTGTTGCCCTGTACTTGTTCCAAAAACATGGAACAGCTATCCATCGACTCATCCACTGCAATTGAAAAATTGCGAAAATTGTTTGCAGTTTTCACTATTTGAATCTCAATTGTTTTCATCAATGTTTGCAACACTGAGGGCAATGGTATTTGCACCCAAAGCCACATATTCAAATTGTTTTGAATTTCTGGGCAAAGTTCCTCAGCCACCTTTAACAGACATTTTTTCCGTGAACAAAAAGATCTCCACGGGCCGGATGAGAGGACCTCGCGTAGCGAGGGGGGGGGGGGGGGGCGGAGGCTGGGGGGGACATATGTCCCCGGGCGCCGACCTTAGGGGGGCGCCGAAATGGGTTGGAAAAATAGATTAAAAGGTTGAGTGGGGTGCAAAAATTGAAAGTTTGAGGGGGGGGGGGGGGTGCAAATGAAAATCTTGAAAGGGGGGGTGCAAATCGAAATCTGGAAGGGGGGGGGGGTGGGGGAGTGCAAATCGAAAAGTTTGTCCCCGGGCGACGGGAAGGGTCGCTACGCCTCTGCGCGGGCCGTAGTTTTGACGCCTGCTTTACACAATGATTTAACACTTTATGGAACCGAAATAGAAAATGTTACAGCATAGTAACTGGTAAGAAGCGCTAAAAATCTTTTTAACTGGTTGGGAGAGTGGGAAGCTTTTTCATAGACAGTAATAACTATTTATATCAATGGGAGGGAGGGGGCGCAAAATTAATAGTCCTCCCGGGCGCCGGAAAAGGCTGCTAAGCCTCTGCGTACACGTACACGTACACGTACACGTACATATCACGCTCTAATCGACGTGAGACATCATCCCCTGTAACCAAATACCCACGTCAATGACGTACTTGAGACAACGGTTGATACGCACGGCAAAGATAGCACCAACTAAACGATACTGGTGCCAAGTTCCTGGAATTATTAAATACATGGCGGCAGCACAGACCGGAACGGATTATCGATTTCTTAAAATCGTTCTGAAACTGATAATTTTCGTAAAACTATTGATTTTAAACACTTGTAAAGACGATATGACATTACATGGAAACAATTCGATATCGAAAGTACTTTTGATTTAGTCATACGAAAGGGTGAATATTTTATTATAAATTTATAAATAGGTTTATTGTAATTTTAAGGTTATTGTAAGATTTATTCTGTAGAAATACCGAGTGAGTTCAATATGAATTATGACGTAAGTAAGCCAACAAAACCCCTGATTATAATGCAGAATATATTGTTCTTGTTCTTTTTTTAGCTGTTTGATTTATTGTTCGATAAAACTAGCCTTTAATCAAACTGTTCTCAACATTATGCGTCACTTCGAGTGGTAAATTAAAACTTGGATTTAAACAACGAATAAAAACATTACTTAGAAATTCTATTAAGTTATCGATTCGTCTGCTTATTTGGTCATATTTTGACTGGAAGACTTTACCAGGTACCACTTATGTTCTCCTGTCTAGACTTTATCAAGTAGCAGGTATGTTCTCCTGTCTAGACTTTATCAGGTAAACTACTCAAGTAGCAGGTATGTTCTCCTGTCTATGGGAGACTTTACCAGGTAAACTACTCAAGTAGCAGGTATGTTCTCCTGTCTAGACTTTACCAGGTAAACTACTCAAGTAGCAGGTATGTTCTCCTGTCTAGACTTTACCAGGTAAACTACTCAAGTAGCAGGTATGTTCTCCTGTCTATGTGAGACTTTACCAGGTAAACTTCTCAAGTAGCAGGTATGTTCTCCTGTCTAGACTTTACCAGGTAAACTACTCAAGTAGCAGGTATGTTCTCCTGTCTATGTGAGACTTTACCAGGTAAACTACTCAAGTAGCAGGTATGCTCTCCTGTCTAGACTTTACCAGGTAAACTACTCAAGTAGCAGGTATGTTCTCCTGTCTAGACTTTACCAGGTAAACTACTCAAGTAGCAGGTATGTTCTCCTGTCTATGTGAGACTTTACCAGGTAAACTACTCAAGTAGTAGGTATGTTCTCCTGTCTAGACTTTACCAGGTAAACTACTCAAGTAGCAGGTATGCTCTACTGTCTAGACTTTACCAGGTAAACTACTCAAGTAGCAGGTATGTTCTCCTGTCTATGTGAGACTTTACCAGGTAAACTTCTCAAGTAGCAGGTATGTTCTCCTGTCTATGTGAGACTTTACCAGGTAAACTACTCAAGTAGCAGGTATGTTCTCCTGTCTAGACTTTACCAGGTAAACTACTCAAGTAGCAGGTATGTTCTCCTGTCTAGACTTTACCAGGTAAACTACTCAAGTAGCAGGTATGTTCTCCTATAGTGTAAGTATCACCTGTAGGTTTTAGCTTTCCACAGGCGATACCATTGAGGTTTAGATTAGGCTCATGTCTGTGTAAAGGCGTATAAGACGGAGACCAGCACTACGAAATATAGAGTTTTGATACTAGCCTATACAGTTACGTAGTAGTGTCTTATATGTGTGTAGAATCTGTGTACCATACACAAATAATATCCATACAATTTAAATGACCAAGTACTAGAAACATCTTTGTATGTTGCTGGTTGACCGGGTAAAACATAATTTTCAGAATTTTATGACCAACCTTCACCAGATTTCTGTTCAACTTACTTTAATTGTGTTCACAAGTTCAATTTGTTTGACCGGTTTACTCAACAAGGGAGACAACAGATAAAAATGTATCAGGTAAGCCATTCGACACTACATCCCTTTACTGACTTATATTCGTGGCAAATGGGATTAAAATATCAATTTGCATTTTTAACAATGCGTAATTTAATTTAGGTTTCAATATAAGCAGGTCGAGATCTGATACTAGTAAAGGGGTGAGGGGGATAGAGATATGGGACCTCATACATTGTAGTTGGCATCTTATAGTGACACTTTACCCCCCCCCCAGGGTAAAGGGGATAGAGATATGTGACCTCATACATTGTAGTTGGCATCTTATAGTGACACCTTACCCCCCCCCCCCCCAGGGTGTAGGGGATAGAGATATTGGACCTCATACATAGCATCACCCCTCTTATACCGCCACTTTTATTTCTACCCCCCCCCACACACAGAGTGAAGGGGGATAGAGATATGGGACCTCATACATAGCATCACCCCTCTTATACTGCCACTTTTATTTCTACCCCCCCCCCCACCCAGAGTGAAGGGGGATAGAGATATGGGACATCAAACATAGCATAACCCCTCTTATACCGCCACTTTTATTCATCCCCCCCTCCCCCCTCCCAGGATGTACTGACGGGCTATGAGCACCTGAGGCAGCAACACGGCGCTGTGCAGGAGCCACGCTGGGCCGTCCAGGTCAACGCCAGCGATCCCGTCCGCGGGTTCGAGCAGAAGATAGACGGCAGCATCCGTGAGGTAGGTGTCTCTGGGCCATTCGTGAGGTAGGCCATCCGTGAGATAGGCCATCCGTGAGGTAAGTCTCTGGGCCATCCGTGAGGTTTGTTTCTGGGTAGGCCATCCGTCAGGTAAGTCTCTGGGCCATCCGTGAGGTAAGTCTCTGGGCCATCCGTGAGGTAAGTCTCTGGGCCAACAGTGAGGTAAGTCTCTGGGCCATCCGTGAGGTAAGTCTCTGGGCCATCCGTGAGGTAAGTCTCTGGGCCATCCGTGAGGTAAGTCTCTGGGCCATCCGTGAGGTAAGTCTCTGGGCCATCCGTGAGGTAAGTCTCTGGGCCATCCGTGAGGTAAGTCTCTGGGCCATCCGTCAGGTAAGTCTCTGGGCCATCCGTGAGGTAAGTATCTGGACCATCAGTGAGGTGGGCCAACAGTGAGGTAAGTCTCTGGGCCATCCGTGAGGTAAGTCTCTGGGCCAACAGTGAGGTAAGTCTCTGGGCCATCCGTGAGGTAAGTCTCTGGGCCATCCGTGAGGTAAGTCTCTGGGCCATCCGTGAGGTAAGTCTCTGGGCCATCCGTGAGGTAAGTCTCTGGGCCATCCGTGAGGTAAGTCTCTGGGCCATCCGTGAGGTAAGTCTCTGGGCCATCCGTGAGGTGGGCCATCCGTGAGGTAAGTCTCTGGGCCATCCGTGAGGTAAGTCTCTGGGCCATCCGTGAGGTAAGTCTCTGGGCCATCCGTGAGGTAAGTCTCTGGGCCATCCGTGAGGTAAGTCTCTGGGCCATCCGTGAGGTAAGTCTCTGGGCCATCCGTGAGGTAAGTCTCTGGGCCATCCGTGAGGTAAGTCTCTGGGCCATCCGTGAGGTAGGTCTCAGGGCCATCCGTGAGGTAGGACTCTGGGTCATCAGCGAGGTAGGCCATCCGTGAGGTAAGTCTCTGGGTAGGCCATCCGTCAGGTAAGTCTCTGGGCCATCCGTCAGGTAAGTCTCTGGGCCATCCGTGAGGTAGGTCTCAGGGCCATCCGTGAGGTAGGCCATCCGTCAGTGGGCCGTCGTGAGGTAAGTCTTTGGGCCATCAGTGAGGTAGGCCATCCGTGAGGTAAGTCTAGGCCATCCGTCAGGTAAGTCTCTGGGCCATTCGTGAGGTAGGCCATCCGTCACTGGGCCATCTGTGAGGTAGGTCTCTGGGCCAGCCCCCCCCCCCCTCCCCACACCCGTGTAATCACTCAGTGACTCCTTAAGATTTATCTTGCTCCCCAGTGGCCATTTGAGCTCGATACGTTCCAGAAACAGGCCATCCTGAAGGTCGAAGATGGCCAGAACGTGTTTGTGGCCGCCCACACGTCGGCCGGCAAGACGGTGGTGGCTGAGTACGCCATTGGTCTCACCCTGAGTCACTCCATGAGGTGAGTAATCGTATGAGAGGAGTCACTCTATGAGGTGTCACCACATTAGGAAAGTCACATTAGGGGGAGTCACGACATTAGAGGAGTCACCATATTATTGGAGTCTCTCAGTGAGGTGTCCCATGGGAGTCACTGTGATAGGGTAGTCAAGAAGTTAGGGTGAGTTTCAACATTAGGAGAGTCACCACACTAGAGGAGTCACCATATTAGGAGAGTCACCATATTAGGAGAGTCACCATATTAGTAGAGTCACCACACTAGAGGAGTCACCACATTATGTTAAGTCTGACAAGTTATGTCCACATCTGACACGTTTGATACTGGTCAGGCTAATTGACGCCTTTTGGTCCAGTTTTTATGAACATCTTTTGATGGAAGTTGGACCACACTTCCTTAAGACGATTCAGTAATGTTCTCTACCCCCTTATGTGGTGGGTCTGTTACGGGTCAGTTGTATGTTAGATTAGAATAGTCTAGAACGTAGGGGAGAGGTGTTTGTGAGTTGGGTTAACCCCGTGGTGTTCAGGTTTTGTTATCCCAAGGTCGAGTGCAGGTATAAAAGCTAGAGTGAGCGATTGTAGGGGGATTTTTAGTTGGTAGCGGTAAGGGACGAGGGCTTGTGGTGTAATGATGAAGATGACAAGTTAAATAAAGGGTGTAAGTGACGTCAAATAATACGCGAATAACATGTAAACTAAGAGGAAAAGACTTACAATTTGAATTCGAAATCTAAAAAAAAGTATAGATAAACGCAGTTAAAATGCAATTTAGATTTACCTTAATGTGAAAGTATTATTGTAAAATGTTCCTAAATTAATGTGACAACGAGGTAACACTAATTTTACTACATTTTTGTTGTAATGAGTTACACATTTGTTAAAATATCACAGTTATGCTGCGAGGTTTTGTTACTATGTTGAGGTTTTACTTCAATGATGTGTACTACCAAAGGTAAAATATGTTACAGTAATGTAACAATACTGTTACCGTGAAGTGACAATACAGTTAATGTGAAGTAACAATACATAACTTGACGTATTTGCTATTTAGGGCCGTGTACACGTCACCAGTAAAAGCGCTGTCCAATCAGAAGTTTCGAGACTTCAAAGAGATCTTCGATGACGTAGGGCTGATCACAGGCGACACACAGGTCAATGAAGACGCTTCCTGTCTCATCATGACGACAGAGATTCTCAGGTAAATTAGACTGATCACAGGCGACACACAGGTCAATGAAGACGCTTCCTGTCTCATCATGACGACAGAGATTCTCAGGTAAATTAGACTGATCACAGGCGACACACAGATCAATGAAGACGCTTCCTGTCTCATCATGACGACAGAGATTCTCAGGTAAATTAGACTGATCACAGGCGACACACAGGTCAATGAAGACGCTTCCTGTCTCATCATGACGACAGAGATTCTCAGGTAAATTAGACTGATCACAGGCGACACACAGATCAATGAAGACGCTTCCTGTCTCATCATGAAGACAGAGATTCTCAGGTAAATTAGACTGATCACAGGCGACACACAGGTCAATGAAGACGCTTCCTGTCTCATCATGACGACAGAGATTCTCAGGTAAATTAGACTGATCACAGGCGACACACAGATCTATGAAGACGCTTCCTGTCTCATCATGAAGACAGAGATTCTCAGGTAAATTAGACTGATCACAGGTCTATGACAGGTGTGACTTTACCAGGTCATGGCATTGGGTCACCGTCTCATGTGACTTAACAAGGTCACTGTCTCAGTTCGCTGCATCTGACGCTGTCTTCAATTACTGTGTTAGGTCACTGTCTTGGTGCAGTTTCAGGTCAATGTCTAATAAAATCTATTAGGTCATTGTCTTAGGTCTTAGATCACTGTGTCGTGTCACTGTCTTAGGTCACTGTGTCGTGTCACTGTCTTAGGTCACTGTGTCGTGTCACTGTCTTAGGTCACTGTCTTAAGTCACTGTGTCATGTCACTGTCTTTGGTCACTGTGTCATGTCACTGTCTTTGGTCACTGTGTCGTGTCACTGTCTTTGGTCACTGTGTCAAGTCACTGTCTTAGGTCACTGTGTCGTATCACTGTCTTAGGTCACTGTGTCGTATCACTGTCTTAGGTCACTGTGTCGTGTCACTGTCTTAAGTCACTGTGTCATGTCACTGTCTTTGGTCACTGTGTCAAGTCACTGTCTTAGGTCACTGTGTCGTGTCACTGTCTTAGGTCACTGTGTCGTGTCACTGTCTTAGGTCACTGTCTTAAGTCACTGTGTCATGTCACTGTCTTTGGTCACTGTGTCATGTCACTGTCTTAGGTCACTGTGTCGTGTCACTGTCTTAGGTCACTGTGTCATGTCACTGTCTTTGGTCACTGTGTCAAGTCACTGTCTTAGGTCACTGTGTCGTGTCACTGTCTTAGGTCACTGTGTCATGTCACTGTCTTAGGTCACTGTGTCGTGTCACTGTCTTAGGTCACTGTGTCAAGTCACTGTCTTAGGTCACTGTGTCATGTCACTGTCTTTGGTCACTGTGTCAAGTCACTGTCTTTGGTCACTGTGTCGTGTCACTGTCTTAGGTCACTGTGTCGTGTCACTGTCTTTGGTCACTGTGTCGTGTCACTGTCTTAGGTCACTGTGTCGTGTCACTGTCTTAGGTCACTGTGTCATGTCACTGTCTTAGGTCACTGTGTCATGTCACTGTCTTAGGTCACTGTGTCATGTCACTGTCTTAGGTCACTGTGTCATGTCACTATACAGATGAAAGACTCTTATCACAGGTGACTGTCACAAGCTACTTTATAATGTCACTGTAGAGCGGACCTCTATTGTCCTATATATCAACAACGTTAGCCCGTGTTGTTCAATCCCTTGAAGGTCAAGGCTGTACCAAGACTTTAACCCGTCTTGTTTAATCCCTTGAAGGTCAAGGCTGTACCAAGGCTCGGAGATGTTGCAGGACCTGGAGTGGGTCATCATGGACGAGGTCCACTACATCAATGACGTGGAGAGGGGCGTGGTCTGGGAGGAAGTCATCATCATGTTACCTGACCACGTCAAGCTCCTGTTGTTGAGTGCCACGGTGCCAAACGCTCTGGAACTTGCTGAGTGGATTGGGTAGGTGGATTGTAGATTGGGTGGGTGGATTGGGTAGGTGGATGGTGGATTGTGTAGGTGGATCGTGGATTGTGAGAGTGGATTGGGTAGGTGAATTGGGTGGATGTATGGTGGATTGTGTGAGTGGATTAGGTAGGTGGATTGGGTGGATGGATGGTGGGTTGGGTGGGTGGATGGTGGATTGGGTGGGTGGATGGATGGTGGATTGGGTAGGTGAATTGGGTGGGTGGATGGTGGATTGGGTGGGTGGATGGTGGATTGGGTGGGTGGATGGTGGATTGGGTGGGTGGATGGTGGATTGGGTGGGTGGATGGTGGATTGGGTGGGTGGATGGTGGATTGTGTGGGAGGGTGGATGGTGGATTGGGTAGGTGGATTATGGATTTGGTGAGTGGATTTGGTGGGTGGATTATGGATTGTGTGAGATGATTTGGTGGATGGAATATGAATTGTTTGGGTGGATTATGGATCGGATAGGTAGATGATGGATTGGGTGGGTAGACAAGTGGGTAGGTGGAGTATGGATTAGGTAGGTGGATTATGTATTTGGTAGGTGGATTATGGACTGGGATGGTAGACAATTGGGGTTAGTGGATAATGCATGCAGTAGCTGAATAATTGATTGTGTGGATGTGTAATGGGTGTTGTAGGCGATGGCATACTTTGGGTGGGCTTAAGAATGGATGAGGTAGATGGTAGATATGACTGGGTAATATGTACTATCTCAATTAGGGTTGACTGTGTAGGTAGTAGAATAGATTAGATAGCTGGCTTGATTTCTTGGGTCGCCATCATAATAAACTGAATACATGGGCAGAACAAAGAAATGATAAAAGATTGTGTACACTTTTTCATGATGTTTAAGTCACAGCAAGTACCTTTGAGATAGGAGGGGCGGGGTGTCGATGATCAAACGAAAAGGCATTGTCCTTATATAATGCATGATACATTGGTGGGGGTAGTGCAAATATAACTAAATACACATATAGCCTATAGACTTATGTTAAATATAGCAACATACACATCCGACCGCGGACAGATTAAGAAGAAAAACTAAAATAAATAGCGAGGTGTTGATAAGCTGGGTGCCGTCTGCGATTTATTAGGGGGTCAGTTAGGTGTAAGTATATACAGTACTTTTTCTGACTCAATGGTTAAATGGGTGGGTGGGGTAGATTTTGGCCGATGCTTTTCGGTATTGTGTGGTTAGCGCCACGGGTGTGTGTAATGTGGGAGTGGTGCAGATGTAATGTGGGATGGTGTAGGTGTAGTGTGGGGGAGGTTTAGGTGTAGTGTGGCGGTTGTGTAGGTGTAATGAGGGGGTGGTGTAGATGTAGTGTGGGAGTGGTGAAAATGTAGTGTGAGGTGGTGTATGTGTAATGTAGGTGTAATTAAGTGTAGTGTGGTTGCAATGGGACGCTTTGTAGTTGCAGTGTACTGTAATGTGTGTAATACAGGTGTAGCGTGTATGTGTAAGAGTGAATTATATGTGGTGTGTGAAATGTTGTTGTGGTGTGGTTATGTTTATGTTTGTGATGTAGATGTATAAAATGTGATAATGGGTGGAATGTTTCTATCTGAATGAATGTTCATGCATGTCTTAAAACTTCCACTACTTAACCCCCCCCCCTCCCCACAGGAACATCAAACAGAAACCAATCTACGTGGTCAGCACCAGCCAGCGACCTGTCCCCCTCAGACACTACCTGTACACGCTGGCACCCAACCGTTTTTCTAACGGCCTGCAGCTGCTCATGGACGAGCACGGGAGGTTTCTGGAACAAGGGTGGGTCAAACTTGTCATTCTGGGTCAAACTTGTCATTCTGGGTCAAACTTGTCATTCTGGGTCAAACTTGTCATCTGGGTCAAACTTGTCATTCTGGATCAAACTTGTCATTTCAGTGGTTGGTCAAACTTGTCATTTCAGTCGTGGGTGAAACTTGTCATTTCAGTCGTGGGTGAAACTTGTCATTTCAGTGGTGGGTGAAACTTGTCATTTACAGTGGTGGGTCAAACTTGTCATTTACAGTGGTGGGTCAAACTTGTCATTTACAGTGGTGGGTCAAACTTGTCATTCTGGGTCAAACTTGTCATTCTGGGTCAAACTTGTCATTTCAGTGGTTGGTCAAACTTGTCATTCTGGGTTAAATGTGTCATTCTCAGTGGCCTAGCTACTGGGGTGGGCGAAACTTGACATTTCGGCTAAGGTGAAACTTGTGATTTCAGTAAAACTTGTCATTTTAGTGACGTAGCTACAGTGTTAGATGAAACTTGTCATTTCACCCTAACAACACTCCAGCTAACCATCTGTTCTTGTTATCCTCCAGCTATGCCACAGCCAAACAGAACTTGGTAGCCATGTCTCAGGGCAGCAGTTTCAATGACGTAAGAAAAACTTGACAAACTTTATTGTTGACCAGCATTAAGACAATACCAAACGCCGTCAAAAACTCTTCGCAACTACCCAACAATGTTAAACTGGAGACTTTTTTTTACATTTTTTGAAACTTATGAATGAAAACGCACAAATGTGAACAGAGCACATAACGTTAGTAAAAATAAAAATAAAATGTCCTTGTAAAAGAATCATCGTTGTATGACTCCCACGTGGAGAGTGCAGAGTTTCTTCCAGGCATCTCTTCGGGGGGGGGGGGGGGGGGGGGGGGGGGGGGGGGGGGGGAGGGGAGGGGGGGGGGGGGGGGGGAAGGAGGGCTTACCCCCCCCCCCCCCCCCCCCCCCGAAAAAATTCTACCGCCCCCCCCCCCCGAACGAAATGAAATTTATATAAGTTATTATAGAAAATATATACTTTTAACAGTGTCCGCCCCCCCCTCCCGAAGAAAGTCTACTCCCCCCCCCCCCCCCCGCCGGAGAAAAAAGTCTGGAAGAAACACTGGGAGAGTGGAGAGAATTGTCCAAAGAAATTGACTTATGAAGTTCTTTCCGTTCCCCACTAGTTGAAGAAAACATGAGTAGAGTTGTCAGAGCTTCATTCCGGCATTTATTCCGGGTGGCACAGATGCACCCCCCCCCCCCCCATCTTCCACACGATGCAGCCTATCGTATTTATATCCAAAATAAATACTTCAACCAGTAAAAAATTTAAGTCTGCCCACCCCCCCCCATACTTACCGAGAAAAATGTCTGACAGGTACAGTACCTCAGGGGCGTAGCGAGGGGGGGGGGCGGGGGGTGCGGACCGCACCGGGTGACACCATTTAGGGGGGTGACACCAAGGCAAAAAATAGCAAAATATATAGAGAAAAAACTTGAGGGGGGTGCAAATTGAAATCTTGAGGGGGGGGTGCAAATCGAAAACTTGAGGGGGGGTGGAAATCGAAAGCTTGAAAGTTTGTCCCCGGGAAGGGTCGCAACGCCTCTGGGGGGTGACACCATTAAGTGCCGCACCGGGTGTCACCCGACCTCGCTACGCCACTGCAGTACCTGCATACTTTACGTTAGCTTTTTCTTTCTTGGTTTTCTTCTTTTATCAGAAAAATAAAATAACAAAATGTATTAATTTCTCAATAAAAACGTGTACAATTTTAAAACACTTCACGTTTCTAAACAACATATTCTCGAGTCTGCTTTTAATACAATAAATTCTTACTAACAGACTATGCAGAAATATACATATAATAATATTATTCGAATTTAGACAAAGTCATAAACGGATTTCTCTACATTTTGAAATATTCCCTCTTAACCTTTGAACCCCACAGGATCGTCCTCTGTGGCTATCAACAGTCTCAACATGTTGCGAACAGACAACAAACTTCCCGCCATTGTTTTTGTGTTTTCTAAAAAGAAGATCGAGACCAACTGTGAGAATACTGACGGCCTTGACCTAACCAGCCCCCAGGAGAAGGCGGAAATTGAGACATTTTTCCAGGAGTCGCTGGCCAACTTTAAGGAGGCGGACCAAAATCTTCCGCAGGTAGTGTAGACTTGTTGATAGATCCACGGCTAGTTTAGCATAGATGGTAGATCCATAGGTAGTGTAGCATAGATGGTAGATCCACAGGTAGTGTAGCATAGATGGTAGATCCACAAGTAGTGTAGCGTAACTGCTACGACAGGAAGATCTAGGGGATAGTTTGAAGTGAGGCAGTTCAGCCCCCCCCCCCTTCCGCCCCTAACGCCGAACAAATATTATAAAAAATTATTTTGAAAAATGTTGGGCTTCTTAGAACATCGCGATTGTTTTGATTTTTTTTTAAATTGAATGATATATTGTGTAAATTGTTCTGTTCTTAGTATATGTATGGTCAGATATCAGGTGACACTCGAAGTTTTTGGCTCATCAAAGATACGTATATCTATATCTAAACCCCCAAAAACACATGTATCTTTATCTTTCTTGTGCACTGGTCAGTAAATATATTAATTAGCTTAAGTAGATTCACACGGATGATTAAACTGATTGATGTATGTGTTGTGTTATACCTGCAGATCCAAAAACTCAAACGGTTACTGAGACGAGGGTTCGGGGTCCACCATGCAGGAATTCTACCCGTCCTGAAGGAGATTGTTGAGATGCTGTTCCAGAGGGGGACTGGTCAAGGTAATTTTTCTTTAGACATCGTCTTAAATCAGACTTTGTTGATACATACACAAACCTTATATACAATTATGTAGGTGAATACAACATATACTTTTTAAACAAATTATATGAGTTTTCCAACCTAACTGTTCACCTTACGGTTGCGTATATAGATGAACGTACCTTTTTAATACTATAAACTACAAATAATATATTATAATATATGTACTCATTTACACCATATCTTCACCATACACATAGAAATTATGCCATTCATATTTGACGCAATGAAAAGTGCCAGGTAATACATATTTATATTTATATCACAACCCAATTAAATGTATTGATTTCAAGAATTAAAATGATTTTTTTCATTGACCTAATCACTAAAGTTATAGATTTATAGCTTTAACTCATTGAAATATTATATTTATTTACTTCAATTATTCACTAATTTAATTGATGGATTAATTTATTTTAATAAATGAATTGTTCGATTGCCGCTTTATTTAGTTTCTCTGATAAAGTTATCAATTAATTTATTTCACTCATTGAGGTGATGTATGTATTCATTAAAAAAAAAACACTGAAGTGATTTGTACATGGAGTTCAATCATTGTGATAATTGATGTACTATTTCAATCAATTTTGTAATGTATCACCTCCCCCCACCCCTTACCCCTCCCACAGATACTGTTTGCCACTGAGACCTTGTCCATGGGCGTCAACCTTCCCGCCAAAACGGTGGTGTTTGACGGGGTGTGGAAGAACGACGGCAGGCAGTTCCGGTTCGTGCAGGTCGGGGAGTACACCCAGATGGCGGGGAGGGCGGGGAGGAGGGGCATGGACATGGCGGGAAACGTCATCATCCTGTGTCACATGTTCATGCCGAAAATGTCCAATCTGAGGAAAGCTTTACAGGTGGGTGGAGCCAATATTTACGGGTGGGTGGCGCCAATATTTACAGGTGATGGCGCCAATATTTACAGGTAGGTCGCGCCAATATTTACAGGTGGGTGGAGCCAATATTTACAGGTGGGTGGCTCCAATATTTACAGGTAGGTGGCTCCAATATGTACAGGTGGGTGGCTCCAATATGTACAGGTGGGTGGCTCCAATATGTACAGGTAGGTGGCTCCAATATTCACCTGGAGAGGTTTGTGTCCAATCTGTCAATTTTTTTCTAAAATTTAATTATTTTAGATGAACTCTACTCCATCAGCCCCATGTGTCTTAGGCAATGACGGGAATAGGATGATGATTAGTTGCAAACCTATTATTCCTCTTAAACAACTTATATTTCAACTCTCTAAGACCATATAGAAACCACCTTTCGTCCATGCAGGGTAACCCTAACCTCTTGAGGTCAAAGTTCCGGTTGACCTACTCCATGATCCTCCACCTGATGAGGGACCAGCAGTTCGACGTCCAGGATATGATGAGGAAGAGCTTCAACGAGTTCCACACCAAGCAGGAAACGGCTCGCTATCTGGAGGACATCAAACGCAGTCTGTCTCTGCTGAGGCGAATCGACTGCCCGCACTGCAACACAGACTTGGCTAGGTACTACGACCGCTGTTCGGAGTTGAACCAGCTCCGACTAGAGTTTATGGTGAGTAGGAGTTTAAGCTATCCAGAGTTAGGTTATGATGAGGGGATTAAAAATCTAAGGAAAATTAGCCAATCTCTTTCCACGAATATGTGTGCTTTTTGGCGACATGACGTCAAAAGTCACATGCATTATTGTAATTAAATGTGCAGGTGTCATTTATTTATTTAAATCTAGTAACAAAAATGCTGAGCTATTAGAATCATTGTATTCGGGACGTATTTACCCATTAAGCCACCCTTGATGATTCTGTTACCTCCCAAGTTGTTGTCCCACCCCTCAGGCCACGCCCCTGATGGTTCTGTTACCTCCCAGTCCACGCTCTTGTCCCACCCCTAAAACCAACCGTGATGATTCTGTTACCTCCCCAGTCCAAGCTGTTGTCCCACCCCTTAGGCCACGCCCTTGATGATTCTGTTACCTCCCCAGTCCAAGCTGTTGTCCCACCCCTCGGACCACGCCCCTAATTATTGTTACCTCCCCAGTCCAAGCTATAGTCCCACCCCTTTGGACACCCCCTGATGATTCTGTTACCTCCCCAGTCCGAGCTGTTGTCCCATCCCTCGGACCACGCCCCTAATGATTGTTACCTCCCCAGTCCAAGTTGTTGTCCCACCCCTTAGGCCACACCCCTGATGATTCTGTTACCTTCCCAGTCCAAGTTGTTGTCCCACCCCTCAGACCACGCCCATGATGATTCTGTTACCTCCCGTCAAAGCTCTTTTCCCACCCCTCAGACCACGCCCTGATGATTCTGTTACCTCCCGTCAAAGCTCTTGTACCACTCCTCAGACCACGCCCCTGATGATTCTGTTACCTCCCCAGTCCAAGCTCTTGTCCCACTCCTCAGACCACGCCCATGATGATTACCTCCCCAGTCCAAGCTGTTGTCCCACCCCTCAGGCCACGCCCCTGATGATTCTGTTACCTCCCAGTCCAAGCTGTTGTCCCACCCCTTCGGACACCCCCTGATGATTCTGTTACCTCCCCAGTCCAAGCTGTTGTCCCACCCATCAGGTCACGCCCCCCCGATGATTCTGTTACCTCCCCAGTCCAAGCTGTTGTCCCACCCCTCAGGCCACGCCCTGATGACACCTGGCCGTATCGTGTTGGTCAAGCGACCAGGCGACCGGCTGGTGCTGGGTGTGGTGCTAAAGTCAAGTCTCTCTGACAAGTTTGAGCAGACCTACTTCACCTTGTTCAACTGTGAAGCCAGCGATGCCTCGGCGCCTGAAGATGTCGGTATGTTGTGGGGACGAATCCGTTCTAGCCGAACTTTTTTTTTAATTCAATTAAAATTAAATTTGGGTATTTTTTTATATAAGGGGTTTGAGCTCAAATTTGTTTTAAAAAATGAATGTGCTATGCTGAAACAAGAGTTAATATTACAGGCCTAGCACTGTGTAGCACATAATAATTTAGCGCTTATACTATATCCGAGTAAATTATATATGTTTTAACAAAGTTACTTAAAAACTATGGCCTATATTATGGGTTGGTCAAGTATTTGTGAGTTTGTTGAGTATTCGAGCATTTAACTGTTGTATCAAACCCCCATTCGCTGTAACAAGTGTATGTACCTTAAATTAGCGCAGGTATGATGTATTTCACTCAGCTATACCTGACATGAAACAGTTTCCATTTCCTCTGATGGACTGTCTAATACAAATCGATGTTTAATGCTACTTTAGTCCGCTCTCACGGATAAACTGGATTAAAAAGAAATTTAACTCTAAATAAGCCTGTTTTTAACACGGTCCTGACGAGTGTTCTGTCAACTCCAGGTATCTACCCAGAGAGGCCCTACACACCCGTGGTCCCACAGCTCCAGCGGTCCTTCATGGCCCTCCACCTCAAGGCCAAGGACGTCGCGCTGGTCAGCACCAGCAGCATCAACATCAAGGCTGACCTCATCATCAGGAACCTGGAGTACGACCAGAAGAGGTAGACCGTTAGTCCAGGGGTCGGCAACCTTTTGAGACAGAAGAGCCAAAAGTCACAATTTACAAAATTTCCCACCCTTCAAAGAGCCACTAACATTTTAATTTCAATATAATATTTCGATCTTTGATTAGGACATGGTATAGGTATATATATATATATATATATATATATATATATATATATATATATATATATATATATATATATATATATATATATATATATATATATATATATATATATATATACACATATATATATACATATATATATATATACATATATATATATGTGTGTGTCTGTCTGTCTGATTGTCTTTTATTCATTACTACACCTTTCAGCCGATCGCCATGAAACTTTAGGAAGTTGTTGAGAATACACGTAGGGTGGTATCTGTAAAAAAATATCAAATTCGCAGGGGTGACGCCCCGGCACGGAGCGATTCGGTTTATGAAAATTAAAGTTGATTGCGGATTGACACCTTTTATCCGATCGTCATGAAACTTTGTGGAGTTGATGAGAACACTCCAGGAGAGGTTTCTGCAAAAAAAAATTCTAATGGGCAGCGCCTGGGATACACGGTTTTGCGCCCATAGTTCCAGAACGGATATGTTAGCACTTGGCATCCTTTAATCGGGCGTCCTACATAGTGGGTAAGGGGTACTACTATGTTCAGCGGCAAAACTGCAACAGGCACAGCCGCCGGCGCCTCGTCGATTACGCGACCTGAAGAGCCCCAGGCTCACCTGCGAGCACTATGGCGTCTACGTTCGTTCAAAAAAAAAAGTCTATACAATAAAGACACGATGAGCAACAATTATCGAATCTGGCGCCCCAGGCTTACCCGTGAACACCATGTCGCCTAGGTTTATATTCGATACGCGTCCTCCAGCGTCTCTGCAGGGTGCAATTTGGCGGAGCACCCAACAATATTGATAATGCGGCACACGACATTCGATCATTAAAACGATCTAGGAGCTGAACGTGGCGCCCCTGCGATTGTGCTCTGCGATCTTGTTCACAAGAGCGCCTCTCTCTGTCCCCGACACTTAGACGGTGAGTGATTTAACTTACACTCAAGGCTTTCATACAACACGCCCTATGGCGCGCTGGGCCGTAGTGAAGGTAAACCTGTGCCCCGATAAATATGATCAGTTTTAGAAAATAATGAAGTACATTCAAAAATGGAGAAACTATTCTAATAGAATAGCTAGTGTTTATTGTTTATATTTATTATTATATGGTTCATTACCGTGTGTTGCAGACTAATATTTTTATGAGTTTTAAAATACAATAAAATTATTATTAGTATTTGTGCATGGAGCTGAAGAGCCGCACCTTGACATCAAGGGAGCCGCAAGCGGCTCGCGAGCCGCGGGTTGCCGACCGCTGCGTTAGACCGTTAGATTGTTAGACCGTTCAACAATGATGATCACTAATTAGAAGCAGCAATGATATTTAATTGGCGATGATAATTAATTAGAATTAGAAAGGGCAGTGGTTTGATGAGCGTGCTTATTAATCATAACCAAATGGTAATTAGTTAATATGACTAACAATTAAATATGTACTGCAAAGTAATGCGACACACAAAGAAAACAACGACCAATTAAATTATGTGATACGAATACGTTTAACTAGAAATGTTGAAGAATCAATGGAAAAGGGGAGGGTTTTCTTTTATAGCCAAATATAAATGGACTAAGACGATTTGACCGATGTTTCAACGAATATAAAAATGACTAGAAAATACTGCAAGTAAAAAGTGGTGATACATTTCATATACCGTTAGTTAAACTTGCGAAATGTAAACTATACATGTCTTGAAAGAAAAAACTTCACAATAAGTGAGTAGGCTCCCCTATTATGTTCTGATAAAATTAGCTTATGGCGAAGTTTATAGTGTATAGTATACATGTCGCAAGTGTAAACGCGGTGTTAGCGTCGAGTTCTGTATCTGGATTTATATTTTGAACTAAAATACACGTGGGAATAGAACAATGCTCATCTTTTTAAGGGGCCTCTACATGTAAAAAATGCTACTTAAGCTTGGAAAAAATATTTTTAGGAAATTGATGTTTTAATAAATTTCATATTCCTAGAATCGAAAACAGTTTCAAGTACACTTGTACGATACATTTTTCTATTTTAATTATAATTTTAAAGACACCACCCTCTGCTTAAAAAATCAAATTTTTAATCAAATTTCTGAAATTTTGAGTTGATTTTTATAAAGCAACTATAAAGAAAAATATAGTATATTATATATTATATATCATAATAAAATACACACGCTCTTAGCTCTCCCAGATAAGCAAGGATAGACCAATAGTTTTCTTTTTTTTACTTAATTACACGCCCCCCCCCCCTCCCCCCTCCCTCCCCCAGCGAGGTGAGGATCCACAAGTGCATCAACGAGACGCTGGACATACTCCTGCAGCTGACCAGAAGGAACTCTGGGAATTTCCGCTCCGTGCACCAGGAGCGTCACGAGCTGGTCAGTGACCCCGCCCTGGCCGGGTCAAGCAGATCGATCGATTTATTGGTCAGTGATCTCAGGTTCAACTACTCGTGCACCAGATGTCCACAGTTTCAGCTACACGTATGTACTGGTACTTCTTTTTTGTTAATACTGTCATGCTTATTTTTATACTTGTATTATAATTTTATTGGTTATCGTATCAGAGGCGTAGCGACCCTTCCCGGCGCCCGGGGCACACTTTCGATTTGCACCCCCCCCTAAAACTTTCGATTTTCACCCCCCTCAACCTTTCAATTTATTTTTCCAACCCATTTTGGCGCCCCCTAAGGTCGGCGCCCGGGGACATATGTCCCGTCCCCCCCCCCCCCCCTCGCTACGCTACTGTATCGTATTTATTAATACTTTCCCATATCAAAATTTCCATTTTTTTAAACTTGTAATCACGGTGCTATATTTTTACATTTCTTCCCACCGTAATACATAAACCATGTTCCTACTCGCGTAGGTGTCGGCTATTTTTTTTTCTCACTACTTTTTACTACTACTCAATTTCCTTCTTCTGAAGCCAGTGTTGTCTTTCATCTGCAAGTCTTATACGTGTTGCTTTTATGGAAAGGGGGATTTTTTTTTATACCAGCGTTCTATATTAGAATCGTCTTTAGAAAGGTGTGTTAAGTTACAGGTAGTCAACTAAAATACATACCTGGCTTGCTAATATCGATGCTAACCAAATCCTAAACCCAAACATCAACTCACCTGACTGATTCACATCTTTTTTTAAAAAATTTAATACAATTTTAAATAGTCCTACCATACGTCTAAACCTAATTATTAACCATAAAACTAGTCGAGATTACAACACAACTAGAACCCCCAACACACCTATTTTAGGAAATAAATGTACTCGAAATTGCAGTTCAAGGACCATAACCACAATAAATACATCCTGAACAAACACCAAGAGTTAACGGTCCTGGCTTCTGAAGATTACCAACCCTTGTTACCTGACTACAATAAAATGGTTCAGGTAAGATAACTCTTCCAGTCTACATAGTTTGAGCGCCTGTATCCTTACAGAATAATGTTAAGTAAGAATATTAATAATTAAGTAGATTAGCATAAATATAACTTTTACGCATTTGAATTAAAATCAGAGTATAGAGTAAAAAAAAACAAATCCTTTGAAAGATAACTTAAACTATCAACTAAAACCACTGAAAACACTATATTCAAATTATTAAAAACTCTTTATATAAGCATTATGTGATAATTTTATTTATTGTACGTTGCTTTATTCATTCATTACGTTTTAAAATTCTTAAACTGAAAAAAAAAATTAAAAAAAAAAAAAAAAAAAAAAAATAATAATAAAAAAAAAAAAAAAAAAAAAAAAAATTAAACTGAAAAAATAAAAAAATAAAAATAAATAAATAAATAATATAAAAATAAATAAATATATAAAAAAAATTAAACTGAATCCATTTAAAGACATGTATAAATAGATTTGGCTGTACAATAATAAAATATATTTAACTAATTTCTATATTATGTTCAATTCAAATGAAACTAACTTATTAATGAATTGTTATTGGAGATGCAGTTACAAGGAAAATTGGCAAAACTAAGTAGTAATTATTATACACATTTGGCATTAAAAAATAAAAAAAAACTTGTTGTCACTTTTTAAGCTTGCACTAAAAAACATATATCTAGATAGTAAATTCCAAATGTTCCCGAAGGTTCTGAAAGAGCTGAAGTACATAAACGCCTCCGACGAGATCCAGATGAAAGGCGTGATCGCCTGCAAGCTGAACACGCACGAGCTGGTCATCACTGAGGTGGTCGTGGAGGACTTCCTGACCCAGCTACAGGCCGCCGAGGTCGCTGCCCTGCTCTCGTGTTTCGTGTTCGAATCCAGCCGCTGCAAGGAGCCAAATCTGACGGCCACGTTGGCCAATGTGAGTTGACATCAATAGGGCTGGTAAGTAGGTCACAAACCAGTTCTACGGCTCAATAAAACCTGCATAAGCCATAGAACTGGTTGGTGACCTACTTACCAGCCCTATTGGTGATAGAGTATCAGACAAAATGTTGACATTGACTTGGTTTAAGTGTATTAGTTAAAATGAACTAACGTTAACTAAAACGACATACTCGGAGTTTTCACAATTAGAAGAACGTAGTACAGAAATTTAATTTTTTTTAATTTAACCAAAATATTTTAAAATTAAGCAAATAATCATTAGAACTGATGAAGTAGAGTTCGTGTTTCTTGACTTCGGCGTATGAAGGGATAGTTTGGTCAGTACTATACCTAGCCTCCCTTTCTGTCACAAGCTTTAGTCAGGTACCCATTTGAGCTGGGTGGACTCAGACACATCCCGCAGACTCATGTCCGGACTAAGATCCGAACTCGGGACTCGGGTTAATTGTCGAGAGCTCTATTACTCGACCATACCGCCTCCCAACCTAATTAGCTATGGCTACCTAACTTTTACATAGAATCCAATAAAACGTGGCTATTTGTTAGAGAATAGAAAATATATCGGGTTTGGCTTTGTGTATGCGTGTATTCACTTTTTTTTTCATCTCAACTCATAGTTGCTTTTGATTTCAACAATTCAGTACTTTAATTGAATTGCTTGATTAGGTATTGAATAATTTAATATTGTGTGCACTCTTTATCAGGGAAAAAATCGCATTCTAAATATAGCAGAGACAGTTGGAGAATGCCAGAGGAATGCTGGGATGTTGATGCCAGTGGAGGTCTTTAAAGAACAGCTGCATTTTGGCTTAGTGGAGGTTGTGTATAGGTGGGCTCAGGGAGAGGTAGGTTTTTTTGGAGGTTTGTGTAGGTGGGTTTATAGAGGGGTAGGTTTTGTTGGAGGTTTGTGTAGGTGGGCTTAGGGAGAGGTAGGTTTTGTTGGAGGTTTGTGTAGGTGGGTTTATAGAGGGGTAGGTTTTGTTGGAGGTTTGTGTAGGTGGGCTCAGGGAGGTAGTTTTTCTTGGAGGTTTGTGTAGGTGGGCTCAGGGAGAGGTAGGTTTTGTTGGAGGTTTGTGTAGGTGGGTTTATAGAGGGGTAGGTTTTGTTGGAGGTTTGTGTAGGTGGGCTCAGGGAGAGGTAGGTTTTGTTGGAGGTTTGTGTAGGTGGGCTCAGGGAGGTAGTTTTTCTTGGAGGTTTGTGTAGGTGGGCTCAGGGAGAGGTAGGTTTTGTTGGAGGTTTGTGTAGGTGGGTTTATAGAGGGGTAGGTTTTGTTGGAGGTTTGTGTAGGTGGGCTCAGGGAGGTAGTTTTTCTTGGAGGTTTGTGTAGGTGGGCTCAGGGAGAGGTAGGTTTTGTTGGAGGTTTGTGTAGGTGGGCTCAGGGAGGTAGTTTTTCTTGGAGGTTTGTGTAGGTGGGCTCAGGGAGAGGTAGGTTTTGTTGGAGGTTTGTGTAGGTGGGCTCAGGGAGAGGTAGGTTTTGTTGGAGGTTTGTGTAGGTGGGCTCAGGGAGAGGTAGGTTTTGTTGGAGGTTTGTATAGGTGGGCTCAGGGAGAGGTAGGTTTTGGTGGAGGTTGTGTATAGGTGGGCTCAGGGAGAGGTAGGTTTTGTTGGAGGTTTGTGTAGGTGGGCTCAGGGAGAGGTAGGTTTTCTTAGAGGTTTGTGTAGGTGGGTTTATAGAGTGGTAGGTTTTGTTGGAGGTTTGTGTATGTGGGTTTATAGAGAGGTAGGTTTTGTTGGAGGTTTGTGAAGGTGGGTGTATAGAGAGGTAGGTTTTGTTGGAGGTTTGTATTGGCCGGCTTTAAGGTGTAGGTTTTCTTGGAGGTTTGTGTAGGGAGCTTTACAAAAAGGTAGGTTTTGTTAGAGGTTTGTCTAGGTGGACTCAGGGAGAGGTAGGTTTTGATGGAGGTTTGTGTAGGTGAACTCAGGGAAAGGTAGGTTTTGTTGGAGGTTTGTGTAGGTGGACTCAGGGAGAGGTAGGTTTTGTTGGAGGTTTGTGTAGGTGGGCTCAGGGAGAGGTAGGTTTTGTTGGAGGTTTGTGTAGGTGGGTTTATAGAGTGGTAGGTTTTGTTGGAGGTTTGTGTAGGTGGGCTCAGGGAAAGGTAGGTTTTGTTGGAGGTTTGTGTAGGTGGACTCAGGGAGAGGTAGGTTTTGTTGGAGGTTTGTGTAGGTGGGCTCAGGGAGAGGTAGGTTTTGTTGGAGGTTTGTGTAGGTGGGTTTATAGAGTGGTAGGTTTTGTTGGAGGTTTGTGTAGGTGGACTCAGGGAGAGGTAGGTTTTGTTGGAGGTTTGTGTAGGTGGGCTCAGGGAGAGGTAGGTTTTGTTGGAGGTTTGTGTAGGTGGACTCAGGGAGAGGTAGGTTTTGTTGGAGGTTTGTGTAGGTGGGCTCAGGGAGAGGTAGGTTTTGTTGGAGGTTTGTGTAGGTGGACTCAGGGAGAGGTAGGTTTTGTTGGAGGTTTGTGTAGGTGGACTCAGGGAGAGGTAGGTTTTGTTGGAGGTTTGTGTAGGTGGGCTCAGGGAGAGGTAGGTTTTGTTGGAGGTTTGTGTAGGTGGGTTTATAGAGTGGTAGGTTTTGTTGGAGGTTTGTGTAGCTTGGGTTTATAGAGAGGTAGGTTTTGTTGGAGGTTTATGTAGGTGGGCTAAAGGACAGGAAGAATTCGTATCATGTGGATTCATAGAGAGACACGTTTAGTCTTATTGTATTTTGTGGTATCTAATTAGTCCTGAAACGTTATTTAATTAATATTTATAAACATTACCATCACCAGAAAATATTTTAAACAAATTGCTTTAATTATTCACTCAACCAACTAAATGTAAATTTTACGAATGTTTTTGTATCTCCCCAGAGCTTCTCTGTGGTAAAAAACCTGACCGATGTTGACGAGGGGGTGATTGTTCGAACTCTCCAGACTCTGAACGAGCTCCTGGGGAGGGTGGAGAGGATGGGCAGCTTGTTGAACCGGAAGTTGTTGTCTGAGAAGTGCATGGAGGCCATGAACTTGATACACAGGGACCTGGTGGTCACCCCTAGCTTGTATGTACAGGACGCACTAGAGGGGGAGGAGGAACAGTAAGGGAGGGGGGTGCTGCCAGATGAGGAAGAATGAGGGGTGGGGGAGTTGCAAGGCGAGGAACAATGAGGGGGTGGAACTGCATGGGAGGAACAATGAGGGGTGGGGAAGTTGCAAGATGAGGAACATTGAGGGGTGGGGGAGCTGCCATGGGAGGAACAATGAGGGGTGGGGGCGTTGCAAGATGAGGAACATTGAGGGGGTGGAGCTGCCATGGGAGGAACAATGAAGGTTGGGGGAGCTGTGGGGTGTAAATCGATCTGTGATTATAAAATTATTTTTGGTGAAAAAAAAAACCAAATGATATTCTGATTTCTAATATTTTTAACAAACTAAAAATACACCGGTTTTGAAAAAAATCGTTTTTGTATATATAAATGCACACCTCTGTATTTATTAAAAAATTACACTTTAATTTGTATTTAATAAAGTATAGAAATATGTTTTAACATAATTAAATTTTAACAGCGCCGCTTCTTTTTGTTTAGCTCAGCTATATATTGTTTCTATTTGTACAAATATTTTATTGCCAAAAAATTATGTACCTAATTATTCTATTTTTTTATACAGATCTTAATACTATTATTGAGTTATTGTTAACTTTTTTATACCAATATTTATAGTTAGTTTTACTCTATAATGGCTGTGACATACGTTTGTTTACAAACCTATTGAGTGTTTAGAGGAAGTGGTTGCCATAGCGATGTGGATTTATAGACCTCAAACGTAAAAAAAAAACGCCTCAATGTTTATCCAATCGTAGGCTCTAAAGTATTTTAAAATTTGTTTTTTAACTTCGATGAAATGTGCTTTTTGTGTGTTAGCCATAATAAAAAATTATTTATTGAACTTATTAAATATTAATTAATTTTTTTCGTAAAATGTGTTTGTATTTGTTTGGAATCGGCAAGTAGAAACTTCGTTAATGTTTATTTTAAAATGCTTATAAAAACACTAAGTTCGTTCTGTGTGGAAATATCTGTTTTGGTGCTGGTTCGTGTTGGGTTTATTTAAAAGCGGTGCTCAGGGTAGGAATCGAGGCTAAAAAAAAACAGTATTTATCATCTTTTGTGCCCTAGACACATGGGGCCGCCACAGATAGCTCCTCCCACTTGTGTCGGTCATTGGTAACTATCCTAGCAGTCCCACAAGACAGTCGGTCTCTGCCAGCAGCTTCCCCCCTCCCCCCCCCCCCCACACACAAGACAGTCCTGCTACTGAAAGCTGCTTCCCCCCTCCCCCCCCCCCACACACACAAGACAGTCCTGCTACTGAAAGCTGCTTCCCCCCGCCCCCCACCCCCACAAGACAGTCCTGCTACTGAAAGCTGCTTCCCCCCGCCCCCCACCCCCACAAGACAGTCCTGCTACTGAAAGCTGCTTCCCCCCGCCCCCCACCCCCACAAGACAGTCCTGCTACTGAAAGCTGCTTCCCCCCTCCTCCCCCACAAGACAGTCCTGCTACTGAAAGCTGCTTCCCCCCTCCTCCCCCACAAGACAGTCCTGCTACTGAAAGCTGCTTCCCCCCGCCCCCCACCCCCACAAGACAGTCCTGCTACTGAAAGCTGCTTCCCCCCTCCTCCCCCACAAGACAGTCCTGCTACTGAAAGCTGCTTCCCCCCTCCTCCCCCACAAGACAGTCCTGCTACTGAAAGCTGCTTCCCCCCGCCCCCCACCCCCACAAGAAAGTCCTGTCTCTGACAGCTGCTACCCCGCCTTGGGTCTCCACATTCCCTCTGCTTTCTTTTTCCTTAAGGTGCCTAGTTTAGAGCCATTCCTGCGATGTCATCTGGATTCATTCTTAGGACGTGCCCTATCCATCGCCATCTTTTTTCTATTATTTTGGAATGTTTCCATTCCCATCTCCCCTAGTAGTCTATCACTGGAGATGGTGTTAGGCCAGAGCGTCTTTTATACAAAAAAAATTATTTAAATAAAAAAAACTAAATAAAACTGGTAGAACACATTGGTGTAAGATACCCTTTCAAACGGTCCATGTCGCAGGTGAAATAGAGTTCACCTGCTTCACTGCCCTGAGCAAATGAAAGGATACAGTGGTCAGCACCATGCCCAGGTGGCTTTACTTTCCCTAAGTTACCCATAAGAGCTGGTTGGCGTCTGGGACTTTCTACTTCCTGTCTGAACGCGAGACTTTCGGGTTAACAAACGAACACACTATTAGTGGTTGAAACTTTATTTACCTATCGATAACGATAACTTTTTGTATAAAGTTGAATTTTGTTTGTAAACATCTCAAATAGTAGAGCACTCGCTGTATCACATATAACAATACGATTAATGTATTACTTGCTTTCCTAGAGCCCACCTAGAGCACCACCTAGAGCACCACCTAGAGCACCACCTAGAGCATCATTAGAGCACCACCTAGAGCACCACACAAAAGTAAAAATCAAATCAAGGGAAACAACAAAATTTTATTTCTGACGGTATCAACGGAAAATATAATTATACATGGTAAATTAAATACAAAATGTCTATTCCAAAATCACTGTTTTTGTTAAATAAATTCTATTACAAGTTGAAACAGAATTAAAAGTTTTAGAAGTTTTATTTTTTTTTAAATACTGCGTAAATATAATTCCAAACACTAGGTATTTATTATTTTATTTTACTTTTATTATAAAGAGCTGCGTATATAATTTGTTCCCCATCCATTTTGAAAATATTGTTTTAATATAAATTTTGAAAGCGTAAATTCAACCAAAATGGCTCGTGTGAGACCAAAACAGTGAAAGAAGGCTGAGAGAAATATTACACCAGACCCTCCGCTGACTTTCACACCAACAAGATAGCATGTGAAATAATTGCCATTTTACCAATACAAAAGGTCAGGAACAAGATTGCTGGGTTGGTTACACATTTGATGAAGAGGATCCAGAAAGGCCCAGTTCGCTAAATCCCTATAAAACTTCAAGAAGAAGATAGAGAGAGAAGAGATAACTATGTCCCTGAAGTATCAGCCCTGGAACTTGATATAATTTAGATTGATCCAGTTACAAAGGAGATGTTGAAGGCTCTTGACTTTGCCAACCTCCCTCATCTACAAGTGACACAGCCAACTCCTACCTTTGCTGGTAGAGCATCACCTAGAGCACCACCTAGAGCAGAGCACCACCTAGAGCACCACCTAGAGCATCATTAGAGCACCACCTAGAGCACCACCTAGAGCACCACCTAGAGCACCACCTAGAGCACCACCTAGAGCAGAGCACCACCTAGAGCATCATTAGAGCACCACCTAGAGCACCACCTAGAGCACCACCTAAAGCACCACCTAGAGCCCACCTAGAGCACCACCTAGAGCAGAGCACCACCTAGAGCACCACCTAGAGCATCATTAGAGCACCACCTAGAGCACCACCTAGAGCACCACCTAGAGCCCACCTAGAGCATCACCTAGAGCACCAACTAGAGCATCACCTAGACCTAGAGCACCACCTAGAGCACCACCTAGAGCACCACCTAGAGCACCACCTAGAGCATCACCTAGAGCACCACCTAGAGCACCACCTAGAGCCCACCCAGAGCACCACCTAGAGCACCACCTAGAGCATCATTAGAGCACCACCTAGAGCATCACCTAGAGCACCACCTAGAGCACCACCTAGAGCACCACCTAGAGCCCACCTAGAGCACCACCTAGAGCACCACCTAGAGCCCACCTAGAGCACCACCTAGAGCACCACCTAGAGCACCACCTAGAGCATCATTAGAGCACCACCTAGAGCACCACCTAGAGCACCACCTAGAGCCCACCTAGAGCACCACCTAGAGCACCACCTAGAGCACCACCTAGAGCACCACCTAGAGCCCACCTAGAGCACCACCTAGAGCACCACCTAGAGCACCACCTAGAGCATCACCTAGAGCACCACCTAGAGCAGAGCACCACCTAGAGCACCACCTAGAGCATCATTAGAGCACCACCTAGAGCACCACCTAGAGCACCACCTAGAGCATCATTAGAGCACCACCTAGAGCACCACCTAGAGCATCATTAGAGCACCACCTAGAGCACCACCTAGAGCACCACCTAGAGCACCACCTAAAGCACCACCTAGAGCACCACCTAGAGCATCACCTAGAGCACCACCTAGAGCATCACCTAGAGCATCACCTAGAGCACCACCTAGAGCATCACCTAGAGCATCACCTAGAGCACCACCTAGAGCATCACCTAGAGCACCACCTAGAGCATCACCTAGAGCACCACCTAGAGCATCACCTAGGGCATCACCTAGAGCACCACCTAGAGCACCACCTAGAGCACCTAGAGCATCACCTAGACCTAGAGCATCACCTAGAGCACCACCTAGAGCACCACCTAGAGCACCACCTAGAGCACCAACTAGAGCACCACCTAGAGCACCACCTAGAGCACCACCTAGAGCACCACCTAGAGCACCACCTAGAGCACCACCTGCTCTTGACTTTGCTAACCTCCCTTATCTGCAAGTGACAACCAACTCCTACCTTTGCTGGTAGAGCACCATCTGCTGGTCTGAGAGCTTAAATTATAGCTTAGTAATGAAGTAATAAATAAATGATCGAACTCTTTAAAAAAATTGAAAGCGTGTTTTCAGCTATAACTTCCAACATCTCAGAACATAAACATCTTTTTACATTAATCTCAATGCACCAATATATAACGGAAACAATGAAGTGACAAGCAAGATACTCTGATTTGAAAAGGAAACACATAATATTTAGACTGCACAACGACATAATGAGCGAACAAAGTGTTCAAGCAATTCTAAATTAAAAAAACAAAACAAAGAGACAACAAACTAAATTTTTCAATAAATAAAGACTCATCAATAAACTGCTAGTAACGGTCATTTTTAGATCGATTTAGAATACCTGAAGTAAAAATAGATTTTATAATAAATGACGCGACGCGGGGAAGAGCTCCCCTAAACTTTCTCATATTTTGTTTTATATAACAGCTGAGGGGTGGAATCAGGATATAGAAGTCTGTAATTC